GTACTGTGGTATACATTTATATTCCAAGCATTTCTTATTTCTATAACCAACTTTACATCTCCTTTCACAAATAAGATGTAGCATAATCAGACAGTATAATTGGCAAAATCTTCAAATAATTTCACACAATGTGAAAGACGAGTTATATATAATTTGGATGATTTGTGGACGACCTACCAAATATGAAGCATTTTAATTTCAAGACATCAGCAATGGTGAAATTCTAAAAATTAAACAAGCATTCACCCTGCATATTACCCTGCCCTATGTACACAAGAACATAATGTTGTCAAATAAAATGAACAACAACTATGAAGACAAGCTAAATCTGTATTCTATATACCTCTATTACCAGATGTGTTTTCCCCTAAGGTCCCTCAATAATACCGTAAAGATCGTATTAAGGGCCCACCCTGCTTCACAGAGTTCAAGAAATATTGAGGAATTACCAAGTATAAACGAATATATCAGAAAAAAATATTATTTTCGAAGTTGGTGTTTCCCACATCTGACTATACTAAAATGATCTCAAAATAGACCATAATGAATGAAGGAAATGCTCAAGTTTAGAGTTTTGTTTCGACATTTTACCAAGTAGCGATCGTCAAGGTTGTGAACTTTCTCGTTTTCGACTTTGATACCACTTTTACACGAAAAATGATGTTCTGTCATCAAATTGAAAAATAAGGTATACATGTAACTAAGATCAATATCTAACAGTCTATAGTAAAAAATATTGAAAATAATCTCGGAAAACGATTCCTTCACTTCAAGGGGCTCTGCTGGGAAGTTCTTCAATCACTCTCAACATTGTCTAGTTAGATTCTTGCTTTATTTTAGCGATCTTTACTGTATTCTCCAATAACAATACATATCATTATTGTAAATAAATATGCTGTTACTTGGTTTTGATGTTGCAAATAAGACATTCTTAGCAAGAAAAATTCCCATACTTTAAATTCCTGGGGAATTTTGGCTTCTTTCATATATGGGCGCTCTTTGTAATGGGTTACAATGGGAATATCAATTTCAAAAGCTAGTATCCAAGGCACTTTTTATGGCGAATATGGTAATAACAACAATCTTGTGTATATGCGTCATATACTGAGATATATCAAAGTAGCCATCATCTGACAAAGTAATAAACATAAACCATTTAGTGCTATTTGAAACCAGGATATAGAATCATCAAAATAACCAAGTAATCCAGGGGTAAACCTATTCAGAGATGCATATCAATTAATCAAGGATGACAAATACTGGAAATAAACAAATCCCAAGAGTCTGAAATCCTATTATATCAGTGGCAATACATTTTATGGTTAACCAATATTATTCATTTAATCATGTTGTGCTCAGTCTAAGCTTTGCCTATGCTAATCTCAAACTGATCTCACCAGAATGAGAGCATTTGCCTGGTGCATCCTCCGAACACAGGCCTCCAGAACTCGTACCTCCTTCTTCTTCCAAGAAGAAGGAAGGAACTTAGTGGATGATGTCTGGAACCCTGTGTTCGGAGGATTGCCTGGTGCTACACCCTATACTACCCTACTGAGAATCTGTTCACAACCTGCTAATAGGGTCAATTACTGAGAAGTATTGACTAACCATGACTAGTAAACAAGTAGGCTTTAGAGCCCTGGTAAAAGAAAAAAGAGAGAGATCACTTATAAATAGAAGTATTCATTTTGTTTTTACAATACTTAATAATATGCCGCCATTAGATTTTTTATACCCAGAGGCCTTGAATTCAGAAATATACAAGGCATAACATAACAATTATCACCGCCTGCATATGGTTACAAGAGTAACAATTTATTAAAGACATCAACCCCTGACTGCTGATGGTATGCAATTGATAATGTTAAAGTGGTCAGATGAGCCATGTAACATTTCATCTCAATATCACACAAGGCATTAACATGCCAAATGTTACCACCTGCCAATTGTTACAGACACTGACAGCTGAACACCAAACAGAAAAATGTTGGAGACAATAACAATATATCACTTTTGTGGTGGTGACATAACAATACCATGAAGACACTGTTGCTTAACTGAGAGAATCTATTTGCCAACAGAAATATTACATATAAATCAAGACAGTTATGTAATGTTTTGGCAATAAATGAAGATGGCATCAACCACCAATTGCAAATCAAAGAAAGCAAATATGCAAAAGTTTTATAAAATATGAATGTATTTTTCTGTTTTGCACTGCGGTATTTTTTAGATTTGATTAATGAACATTAAAAGTAGTAACCCAGATGCAAGTAGGTAGTTACCAGTTTCACCACCAGGTGGCTAACGCGGGTCAGATATCATGGCATGGTGGAAGGCATGGTATTAGAAAGTTCCCTGGATTCTACAGGCCCGTAGCCAGGGGGGGTTCGCAGGGTTCGGGCGAACCCCCCCTGGCCAAAAATTCTTTCAAAATCATGCAGCTTTTCACCATTTTGAGCACTTTTCAAGTGATTTTAGCCATATTTGGGCCAAAATTGTCAAATGTGAACCCCCCTGGAATTTTTTTCGTCACCTCAGTATTTGGTACCCGTCATTTAATTTGAGTGCTGCGTTTCATTCTATATATTATGTTGACTCAGTTTTCCTTATCCATCAACACAATTATCCAGTCAAACACAAAGGGCTTCATTTCATTGATCAAATCACAACTGTGGGTAATTTTCAGTTGACAGCCGCCAAATCAAGTTGACGGCCCAGTAGTATCACCTGCTCAGAAATACTCAGATTGCTGCAAATGGCATCCAAATTTCGAGGGGGGCAATTAGCATGACCCTGGACCCCTACCCCCATGAATGTATTGGTGTTTTTGGAGTGATCTCGGACACGGGACATTGTCGGACGATCTTCAATAATTCTTTATATTATATTGTTTCTTTATATTGAAAGTTCAAATAAGAGACACATCATATCATCGATGTGGTTATATATATTTTTTAAAAATCTAACAATGACTTGGATCTTCACCTGATACCAAGGGTTTGTTTGGGAATGCCCGTGGCCGAGAATGCTCCTATGCCCTCTACTAGACCCCCCCCCTAAAGATTAGTTGGATAACATTCAGTCTCCAATTCAGAAATCAAGCCCACCTAAACTAAATCCTGGACCCTATACATTAATTAGCAACGCTATCTCTATTATGTATGAGTAGGTCTAATAAAATTGCCCTTAGCTTAGGCCTTTCCAGGCTTGTACTATTTTTTTCATGGCCTGAGTTCGTCGCTAACATGCTAAATATAAGAGTTAGCTGACGTTTGGGAGTCTGACTTACCTTCTAAAGGTTAGAACCCGAATCTTAATGAAACCATATCACCTTTGTTGCGTCATTGATGATGCATAAACAGCATTTGATAGAAATTAGTGTAAATGCTTTTCCGACTTTTTCATTTTTCATTAATGTTGACTTCCGGGAAGGCGTTGTAGTTATCACGAAATAACGCATTGACCCTTGAACTTTACTTTGTTGACGTGTCAACCAAGCATGTCTGGTGTGAAAATTAAAAGAATATTAAGGTCTCATGGAAGTTAACAGGAAATGACTAAACAAAAAATGACAAAGCCATGCTGGATTTTGAAAATTTTTTGAACCAAGATAACAGAGTTCTGTTTGGACCTCCAGTCAGTTTAACTAGTTCCACATATCATTTACATGACCGGGAACACAGTTGAAATGGTCAGAATGACCATAAACATAATAGAATAACCTTTTCAGCCCTCTGAAAATGTGACTAAAAAATAGCTAAGAGTAGGTGCTCGGGAAAGGTCACTGAACAGAATATTTTGACTTTTTCAGAAAATGTGCCCAATATATTGCTCTAAATGATACAATTCAAAAAAAATTGATATCATTCTTAGAAAAAGAAAAAATTGAAAAAAAATGAATTGAAAATCAATCTATTTTCCTTTTTACTACAGCCATTATTGTTTCAGACGATTTTTTAAAATTTCAAAGATTGTGTCATTTAGAGCAATATATTGGACACATTTTCTGAAAAAATCAAAAGATTCTGTTCATTGACCTTTCCTGAGCACCTACTTTTAGCTATTTTTCAGTCACATTTTTATCATGTTTATGGTCATTCTGACCATTTCAATTGTGTTCCTGGTCATGTAAATGATATTTGGAACTAGTTAAAGTGACTGGAGGTCCAAACAGAACTCTGTTATCTTGGTTCAAAAAATTTTCAAAATCAAGCATGGCTTTGTCATTTTTTGTTTTGTCATTTCCTGTTAACTTCCATGAGACCTTAAGCAATGTTCTACATCCGCCAAGCTAAGTGAAGTAGCCAATATTTAAAATTACCAATTTCAAGTGAAGTACGCAACGAACGAAACTGCGTGATCTGCATTCCCACTATTGGTCTGAACGAAATGCTACGTAGAAATATGAGCCGTCTGCTGTATTAGTCGATTAATAGAGTAAGACCTGTTGGTGATGCTTTATAATTTAGACCAAAACATTGGAGAACAAACGAACCTGTAAATCGTGAAAACAACGAACAAATATTTGGTTTTCACATATGTTCTGTAATTTTTCGTATTGAAACTTCCGGAACTTACAAGGAAATCATTCATTTTCACGGTCCATGATTTACCTCTTGGATGTTGTGGGAAATGCTCCATGGTTGACGGAACAAAGGTGATATGGTTTCATTAAGATTCGGGTTCTAACCTTTAGAAGGTAAGTCAGACTCCCAAACGTCAGCTAACTCTTATATTTAGCATGTTAGCGACGAACTCAGGCCATGAAAAAAATAGTAAGCTTATGAAGAATCATGAAAAATCTTGGAGTCTCCGAAAAGACTAGGTACTGGTAAGTATCAATCGTCTTATCCCTTATCCACAAAATTATTTCAGCATCAAAAATTATTTATGTAAACTAAAATGCTCATATAATATAATATTGATACTGTGCAAGTAATGAAATAGTAAACGCATTCCTACCTGACCAAATTTTGCTAACATCCGGGCATTTTCAACCGGAAGTTAAAAATGGCTGAGGAACTGGAAGCAAATTTATCTACATATAAACTGCAATTACAGCAAGTATGCTCGATAAATGAAATTAATATTAATTTGAAATACAAGATTTATGATTGACTGCAATATTAAAATAATTATTATAGGTCTTAATAGTGACGATATTAGCATATTTACATTTCAAATATTATTTTTGAAATATTTTTTAGAAAATTAAATTTCTTCACTTACTGCAGTATACATAGATCTCAAGGATGATTGGGTCACATGGTTCCAAACTGGTATTTTTAATCGACACGAACATTGAAAATCTTGTTATTGTCTGACATAATACCAGTGTTAGAGTCCATTTCACTTCTTCATTTCGTCAGTAGAACGGCAAAAATAAGAAATTGGGAGACCATTGTGCAATAATATATGGAAAAGTATATTCATAATGTACATGAATGACATTTGTATATTTCAGATTTTTTAGTTTTATGTGCAATAAGCCTGTGCCGTCTTGTAATTTGAAGAATTTCAGCCATGTTAATCTTATTGAAAATAACATGGCAGAGAAGCATCCCAATATAAGAGACCACACACTTTATAAGCCAAACTAGAAGCAATCCAAAATATACAAATGTCATTCATGTACATTATGAATATACTTTTCCATATATTATTGCACAATGGTCTCCCAATTTCTTATTTTGCCGTTCTACTGACGAAATGAAGCAGTGAAATGGACTCTAGTCATTAGGCCTTCCCGGTGATTGTCCAGTAAAGTGAGCCCCAGTCAATGTCTCCAAAAGTCACGGTCATTTTGATCAGAGAGTATGATCTTTAATCACCTACCTAGCTGTAGAATGCATATTGGTGATGTTGTTCTCATAATGATTAGAGGGGTCGATGATTAAATCGACAAGTTCCATGGATTGGAGTAATTGTTTTGCGAAGGATAGGTATAGGCTTTAGGATTTATTTCACGAATCTCATCAGAAATTAGGTAATCTTGGTGATTGTAACTTGCAAAGCTGTTGTGAGTAGAGTCTTGTCATATAATCAGCCTCAATTTTAAAGTGTTAGTTGTATTTTTAACATGATTTCACTGTTTTTTTTGTGGACTGGTAAGATCTTGGAACACAAATGGCATGATGGATGAGCTTTGACCTCATTTTGACTGATGGTGATCACAGGCAAATCACGTGATCAATTTTATCTTAATGTTGATTGATTTAAGTTTTAATTGGTTGGGAAAATTGAATTTATTTGAAAGTTTAACCTCCCGCTTGAGAACAAGAATAGGTCATGTGACCTTGTGCCAGAGTCATTGCATTCTTTTCAGTTGACCTGTTCAAAGTACATTGAGTCCTAATTATCACACATCACAACAATTTTGGAAACAATATTTTATAACTACATAGATTACGATGCATCTAAGGTACATAAAACTAGATGACCAACTGCATGAGGAATAGTGATAAATACCCCAACGGAGATCAGTCTTGAAATAGACTTGAATCTTGTTTCCAATCCTGAAGCCTAGTTGATACCTATCCTTCGCAGAACAATTACTCCAATCTGTGACAAGTTCTCAGAATTTCAAATCTGACTTTGGATTTGAGATTTGACCTTCTGTAATGTATATGGAACTAAAAGTTTTAAAGTTGATCAAAAGATGGCACTAGAGTATACTAAACTAGACTCATAACTGAAAAGTGCAATCAGAGAAGCCAATTATGATTTTGAAAAGAACAGTCAGTTCACAAAGAGAAGTCAAAGCATCAACATGTAAATATAATGTGAAGATATAAAATAAGAAATAAGATCATAACGTTGTTCAAATGAACCAAGAACCAAATAAGAGACCGAAATAAGCGACAACTGTCGGACCCAGCGAGAGCATCAAAGGGGCCCCTCGTCATAACGTCCAGAACCCAAGATAGGTGCGACAAGGTAGTATAAACAAGTTAATAACAACATTACATGGTGGCGGCAAACGACAAGAACCACGCTTCAAGCGCTATACAAGCAATAGGACGAGGTAATATAATTGCTATTTTGTTAGGAAAATTCCATGAAGAGCTAGAGACAAAGAACTTTATTCAAGACCTAAGATTCAAGATCTGAAACAGATCAGAAAGAACTTTTCTAAGAAACTAAGAAAGAAGCAAGCCTAAGAAATTCAGAGTAAAAGGAGAGTTACAGAAGTCACAAAAGGCAAATCTTGAAAATAAAAACTGAAGTTTTAGCAACATTTTGAAAAATTAGTTCACTGCACAGTAGCATAGATTTTTACAATTGGCAAACAGTGGCAAATTCAATAGCAAAGTACAACATTGGAAAATCACACATTGGAACTTTCATATGCATTTACATGTAATCTGGAAAACTTTTTTCATGAAGTACACAGTTTATTAGTACAGAGTTGAGATTAGGATAAGAATTTTAGCATAAAAAGTTTTTCACATGTACAGTATATACAAGTGTTTTATATGAAGGTATTATTAGCTAGATAGCCAGTCAGTAGTCATGCAACAATAGGCTAGGTTAGATTACATGGTTAAAACAAAAGATTAGTTAGGATAGTTAGCTCTCAATTTTTCACACATATATCTGAATGCATTTGTGCAAGGTCAAGTTGACCCAGTTAGTGAATTAAGTGTATGCCTAGTTTTGTTGACATAAACCCATATAAGGCAATAAGGTCAAGCTGACCAAAAGGTAAACAAACAGTTACTGAAGTACAGCACCTGAAGTGAAACTAGCAAATTTTTCAACTTAGCTATTTATCTGCTATCATTGCTAAAGTAAGATAGTTAATTTTACAAACATTTATAGAGTAAGATGGTTTAATTTTCACTGTTATTTTAGATTAGATTAGTGGTGAATAATCAATTAGCTAGCAAGCAAGCAATTAGCGACAGTGCATTTTATTGGTTCATCATTGGTGAAAATCCATCAATTGGTAAATCATAGGTGAATTATCATAGTAAGTAATTGCAAATAACAGCATTACATAAATTTGATATCATATTTAGAACTTAGCACACATATTGTGTTAATAAATAGTAAACTACATTAGGTTTACAACAAAATTCCAATTGAATATTCATAAACAAAATAATTTTCACTTGCAATTGTTTACAACATTGTCATATTTAGGTTATATATTATCAATCAATGTGTAGGTTAGCGTTACTGTAACATTAGATTTAACAGATCTTGCTATAAGCACTTAGCCATTACTGGTAGTATTATGTTAAGTTAGTGATTATGCCTATAGATACTAGAGCTAACACATACTCTGAAAAGCCTGATCAAGGTAAAGATAGAAAGGATAAGGACCAGCCACAAGGAGCTGAAAGAAAAGAAGAACCTTTTAAAGAAGCCATGGCGGAATCTGAGGATTTCCACTGTGATGATGATGATCTGACCAAGATGGAAGATCCAACTAAGATGAAATATCCATACATGATGCAAGATCCAGATGCCCAACCAAAGATGGAAGGACTTGGTGTTCAACAAGGAACAGATACCACTAGGATGATGCAGCTCATGATGGACATGTTCCTTAAGAACAATGAAGCAACTGAGCGAAGACTCCGGGACATGGAGAGGGCTCGCCTTGAAGAAATAAAACAGGAACGTGAAGAAAGAAGACGCCTTGAAGAAATAAGGGCTAAAGAAAGACAACAAGAACGTGAGGATCAAAGGAAACTCATAGAACAATTAAGAAAAGACAAAGAACAAGAAGGAAAACGACCCAAAGACCCATTCATCACAAAACTTAAGGATTCGGATGATATTGAGGACTTCTTAACAGTTTTCGAGAGAACAGCCACAATGTGCAATTGGAAACTTGAACATTGGACTTTGAAACTTGCTCCAGCACTATCTGGGAAGGCCCAAGCTGCATATGTTAGTCTCAATGCAGAAGATGCCATGAACTACGAAACAGTAAAATCAGCTATACTGAAGCGGTACTCCATCAACGAGGAGGCGTACAGAATCCGTTTCAGAGGTCTTAAACGAACTGATGATGAAGGTATAAAAGCCTTTGCAGTACGTTTGACCGATGTATTTAACAAGTGGTCCAAAGATGCAACTACAATAGAAGACTTAGGCGATTTGATCATCAAGGAACAACTTGTCAGCACATTACCAAGTGATGTTCAACTGTGGGTGAAGGAACATGATCCAAAAACTTCTGAAGATGTTGTTAAACTGGCTGATAATTACCTTGAAGCTAGAAAGCAGGAAGGCACAGATACCCCTCAGACAGTTTACAAACCAAAGAAGTTTGGAAACAGGAACAACAGGGACAAAGATACAACAAAGTCTACAAATCAAGCAGATGCCTTCAAACAGAAGCCTCTTGAAAGTATCCAATGTTTCAAATGCCAGTCTTTTGGACATTATTCAGCAGATTGTTCTTCAGCCAAAGCAGTTAACAAGTGTACAAAATGCCTTAATCTGGGTCACACAGCAGCTGAATGCAGAACAGATACAACCAAACGATGTGAAAACTGCAAGATTTTTGGCCACGAAACAAGTTATTGTAAGAGAGGAAAGAAGGGATATCTCTGCAAGTCTAAGAATGACATATTCTCTCAGTACAACAGGAGTAGAGATGGTACAGTACAAGGCCTGATGAACAACAAGAAAGTTAAACTCCTTATTGATACAGGAAGCTGTAAGACAATAGTACACAAGAACCTAGTGGAACCAGATCAAGTATTATCTGATGATGAAATCACAATGACGTGTGTACATGGTGATCACAAGTCTTATCCCACTACCAATGTGACATTTTCCATTGGTGATGAGACATTCCATGTTGATGCAGTGGTTTCAGACTCAGTACCAACACAAGTTCTTCTGGGACAAGATGTGCTAAGACAACTTGATAAGGAAAAGATGGATAGATATATCTACAAGAAACCAACAAATTCTTATGTGACTACACGTCAACAATGGAAAGACCAACGACAAGAAGAAAATGAAGACAGACTCTTAGATGAATGTTCTGATGTCAAACTAACACCAACTAAGGAAGATGAGTCAACATTGGATTCACATGATCACAATAGTGATGCAGTGCAAACTGAACACAATGACAATGACTCTGATGATGTTAAAGCAGCACAAACTCAACACAGTGATAATGAAACTGGTATTGATGATGCTGATACAAGTGAATTTGAAGGTGATGAACTACCTTTCAAATTTGATGATACAATGTTTCTAAGAAGAAAGGCTGACAAGATAAAGAAGACCAGAAGACAAAGAAGAAGCGAAAGAATGAAGCTTCAATCCAAAGAAAAAGAACAAGAACTTGGGACAATAGATGTAGACTGTCTGAAAGAAATGCAGAATACAGATCCTACTCTGAAGGATGTGAGGAAGAAAATACTAGATTCTACTGATACTAACAGGGACATACCATATTTCATAAGGAAAGATGGTCTGATATATAGAATATCAAAGACTCCCTTAGATGAACAACTGGAACAGATAGTCATACCGAAGGGTTGCAGAAAACAGATCCTAGATGTGGCACATAGTATTCCATTGGCTGGACATTTAGGAATGCAAAAGACAACCAACAGAATTACAAGAAGATTCTTCTGGCCTGGGATTCATAAAGACATTACTAATTATTGCAAGTCATGCGATAAATGTCAACTCATTGCCAAGAAGAAAACCATGGACAGAGCTCCACTTATTCCATTGCCTGTTATAACAGAGCCATTCAAGAAAATTGCCATGGATGTGATAGGCCCACTGGTACGCTCTACCAAAGGAAACAAATACATTTTATGTATTGGAGACTACGGAACAAGATATCCGGAAGCTGTACCGATGAGAAACACAGATGCTAAAAGAATCGCTACAGAGCTGATGATTTTGTTCTCCAGAGTTGGAATTGCTGAAGTAATACTTACAGACCAAGGTACAAACTTCATGTCAAAGACCTTGAAGGAAGTCTACAGGTTACTAGGCATAACTGGAGTTACAAGTACACCATACCATCAGCAGACTGACGGCCAAGTGGAAAAGTTTAATGGCACCCTGATTAACATGTTACGCAAGTTTGTAGCAGATGAGCCAAAACTTTGGGATGTGTATCTTCCTTATGTATTATTTGCATACCGGGAAGTACCCAACAGTTCAACGGGATTCTCTCCATTCGAACTCCTTTATGGACGAGACGTTAGAGGACCATTGGACATATTGAAGGAAAACTGGGTTGCAAAAGAAGATACTCCACCAACAGTTGTTGAATATGTAGTTAAAATGAGAGAGAAGCTGGACTCTTTACATAAGTTAGCAGAAAGCAACGCAGCAGATTCCAAGACAACACAGAAGAAATACTATGACAAGAAAAGCAAGGAATCTACTTTAGAACCTGGAGATGAAGTCCTTCTATTACTGCCTACAAGTGAAAACAAACTTGAGATGAGATGGAATGGACCTTACAAAGTGAAACAACGCCATGGAAAAGTAAACTACGAAGTTGAAGTTGGCAACAAGACTAAGATTTACCATATCAATCTTCTTAGAAAATACACAGACAGAGAGGAATATTGCTTCATGATGACAGAAGATGAAGATGACAGCGATATTGAAGACGTCATGGTCATATCAACAAAACCAGATGTCCAGATCAAGAAATATGACTTGAATGCTGAGATGACAGTATATCAAACACAACAGATGAAATCTCTGTTAGATGATTTCAATGATGTTCTCTCCAATGAACCTGGAAGAACAGACCTGATAAGACATCATGTTGACACTGGACAAGAGAAACCACATCGTCAACCAAGCTACAGAATCCCTCAGAGTCATCTAAAAACAGTGAAAGAAGAATTGGATTCTATGCTGAAAGATGGTATAATAGAACCCTCTACAAGTGAATGGATATCAAATGTTGTTTTGATTCCAAAGAAAGACAATACAATTAGATTTTGTATTGACTTTCGGTACCTCAACAGTGTATCAAAATTTGATCACTACCTGATGCCAAGAATAGATGACATTATAGACAAGCTTCAGAAAGCAAAGTGGATTACAGTTGTCGATCTTTGCAGAGGATTTTGGCAGATACTCCTTACAGAAGAGTCGAGAGACAAATGTGCTTTTCGGACACCCTGGGGAATTTTTCAATTCATAGTGATGCCGTTTGGTCTCCATGGAGCCCCAGCAACCTTTCAAAGGATGGTAGATGAACTACTTAGAGGTGCAGAAGACTACATTGCAGCCTATCTCGATGACATCATCATCTTCAGTGAAACATTCCAAGATCATCTTACCCACGTGGAAGACTTGATGAAAAGATTAAGAAAACATCATTTGACAGCAAAGCCTGCAAAATGCCAATTTGGATACCATGAAGTTGTGTATTGTGGACACAAAGTTGGCAAAGGAAGAGTAACACTAAAACCAAGTGCTATAGAAGCTATACAGAAGTTTGAAAGACCAGAAACAAAGTCCTTACTCAAGACATACCTGGGAATGACAGGATACTATAGACGCTTTGTTGAAGATTACGCTACAAAGGCCTACCCTTTAACAGAACTGACAAGAAGACAGATTCCTAAGAAGATACCATGGGATGACAAAGCAGAACATTCATTCCAAATTCTGAAGAAAGAGTTGTGTGAACACCCTATCCTAAGAACCCCAGACTTCAACTTGCAATTCATTGTGATGACAGATGCATCTGACTATGGTATAAGTGGAATCTTATGTCAAACATTTGATGATGGAGAACATCCTGTGATATACCTTAGCAGAAAGATGATGCCAAGAGAACGGAACTATGCTGTTATTGAAAAGGAATGCCTCGCAATGAAATGGGCCATTGAACAGCTGAGCTATTACCTGTTAGGAAGAGACTTTGTAGTTGTAACAGATCATAACCCCCTCGTGTGGTTGAAAAACATGAAAAACACTAACCCTAGACTCATGAGATGGTCTTTGTCGCTGCAACAATACAGATTTACAGTGATACACAGGGCAGGTCGATACAACCAAAATGCAGATGCTTTATCACGATTATGAATCTATTAAAACAGACATTAGTGAGAATAAAAGAAGTAGACATGAGGAAGAGTATCATTCTATGCATTTAAAGACATTACACAATTGAAAAAGTGCATAATTGAGGACATTTGAAGTTTGAAGAAGTGATCCTTAATAAGGGGAAGTTTTAATTTTTGGGAAAAGCAATCCCTGAGAATTAGTTTTATTGGACAATTTTTAACTTTTTGGGGACAATCCATCCCTTAATGAAGAAAGTCATATCAGATGTGACTGTTTTATGGAAAAAGATAGAAAAAGACCAAAAAACAGTCAAAAGAAAGGGGGAAGATGTAATGTATATGGAACTAAAAGTTTTAAAGTTGATCAAAAGATGGCACTAGAGTATACTAAACTAGACTCATAACTGAAAAGTGCAATCAGAGAAGCCAATTATGATTTTGAAAAGAACAGTCAGTTCACAAAGAGAAGTCAAAGCATCAACATGTAAATATAATGTGAAGATATAAAATAAGAAATAAGATCATAACGTTGTTCAAATGAACCAAGAACCAAATAAGAGACTGAAATAAGCGACAACTATCAGACCTAGCGACAGCATCAAAGGGGCCCCTCGTCATAACGTCCAGAACCCAAGATAGGTGCGACAAGGTAGTATAAACAAGATAATAACAACATTACACCTTCAATGACCTTCTCAAGGTCAAAAGGGTATTTTTTGTCAACTTGCTTCAAATTGACCATTTTTTTCAAAATCATCTACAAGTTCTCAGAAGTTCAAATCTGACTTTAGATTTAACCTTCAATGACCTTCTCGAGGTCAAAAAGGTATTTTTCAACACTTCAAATTGACCAATTTTTTTTCAAAATCACTGAAGATTTGAGATTGAACCTTCGATGACCTTCTAAGGGTCAAATAAGGTCAAAAGGTCTTTTTTCAACTAGCTTTAGATCAACCAATTTTTTTAAAAATCATCTATAACTTCTCAGAAGGTCAAAAAGGTCTTTTTTTCAACTTGCTTCAAATTGACCTTTTTTTCAATTATAAGTTCTCAGAAATTCAAATCTGATTTTCAAATTTCAGACTTGAAAATGATCTTTTCAATCTGATTTAGCATAGTTCCCCTAATTGCTACACAGTCTGTCAATTAAAGGAATATGCTCAAGAGATTCTTTATACCTTTTGCTACAGTTGTTGACTTTGTTGTACCACTTTGCTTTTAGGTTGAAGCCTCCTTGAGTAATGATCCAACCAATGATGACCTACTCAAACTCCAAAAAGATCTCAGTGTAAGTTCCAACGTGTACTATAATGTGTTTTTCATTTGTTTGAAATAAATGCAAAATATGTTGTTACAATAATATAATAATTGAATCAAATACATAAGAAAATATATATATAATTGATAATAAAATGAAGGAAGGTAATTATTTTATAAATGAACAGTTCACCTACTGGTCCCTAACTTAATGATGTTTTGTGGAATGAAACCCTAACCCACAACTGCAAGTGCAGTGTTCCTAGTTATTTTGACGGAGCGTCAATGTAACAAAATGGATGAACTTCCTGGTTACGAGTTTTTTGTTTTCTCAATTTAAACCTTCTTAAGTTGCAGATTATAATTTGGCACAAAGCCAGAAAATATAGTCTAGCTTTAATACGTTTCTTCAATTTGAAATTTGTTTTGTAAATGAAGTTGCAATTCATATATTTAGCCCCTCCTTTTTGTTACATTGCCGAAAGGCCTTTATATTACCAAAATATGTTACTTTGACGAGTTACATCAATGTAACAAAAGTGATGGTCTAAGTGCATGAAATACAGCTTTATTTAAAAATCAATTTCCAAACCGAGAGCATTTCTAAAAGCTCTACTACTATATTATCTAACTTTGTGCCAAATGATAATTCGCAACATGACTTATACTTAAACTTTTATCCAGGAAGATCATCCATTTTGTTACATTGACGTACCGTCAAAGTAACTATTGTGGAACAGTGAACTGATTCACCTCTACAGTATGTTGGACATGGGTGCAATGCTATATATGCAATTTATTGATGTGGAAAAGTCAGTCAGTCAGTCCTGTAGCATCCAGATAGCAGGATAAGGGGTCATGATTTTGATTTGCACTAGTGTTAACTGACTTTTTCACATCACCACTTTAGAATTTAATTCTGTGCTTTCATTACATACTGTTGTACACTGACAGGAGGTGATTGAGCTGACAGAGGACCTCATAGCTCAACAGAATGAGGTTGATTCTCAAGAAGATGAAACAGATACATTAGAGGCAGCAAGCTACACACAACACAACTGGAAAGTTGGGGATAAGTGCCAAGCATTATATAGTAAAGACAATGCGTAAGTATCTTAGACTCTACTCACTGATAATATTGTCATCCTCCATATGTAAACCATCTACAGTAGATCTGGAATAAAAGTAGATGAATAGGTTCAGAACTGGAGCAAATAGGTGTCGCACCCTGTTGAGCGTTCCCAACTCTCTGCATGCCCCACTTCTACAAATATATGGATTTGAAGTACACCTCTTCTTGATGTTTTATTTTACATTTCTCATTAAATGACATTCATCACTGGCAGAAGTGGCCATTTTATGTAACCATCTATATTGAGCAAGATGTTCTATTGCAGTTAATACCGACTTTAAATATCCTTTTGCAGACATTTTAATGCCACGATAGATGAATTAATGGACGATGGGACGTGTACTGTTACATTTGAAGGCTGGGGGAACACAGAAGTCACAAAGGTAATGTACCAACTTGAATTCAGATTTAATAATGTTAATAATAATTTGAATGAATCATTAAATTCATAAATGAGAGAACAAACTGATCTTTTATTAGTGGTCAGAAATGAGATATGACCAATCAAAAAACTTTGTAATATCTGCTGGTGAAAATGAACACTCTACATATCTGAATAAACCCAAAGAAGCAATTGAAACTAAAATACTGAAATTGAGCTGATTAAAAATATAAACTTGTTAATGATGTGCTTATCTGAGAACTGGTAAATGATGTTCTAGTTACCTTTACAGCATACATATACAAACATGTACTCACTCCAGCTTTGTGAGCACCTTAGATCTGGCAAGCAATGGTAATTATACTTTAAGCAGAAATCACTGAATGGTTTCTTATGGTGAAGTTATTATTACAGTTATTATCATTTAGACTTAAATAGACAAACCTGGGAAATATTTTCTTTGATACAGTAAACGACATTCATTTCTTGTCAAAAAATAAAAGAGCATTTAGCTGTCTTATTTTAAATAGCTTGTATTATGACGTCATGAGTATTTGACAATTTAGAATGATTTAACATAGAAATAATCAGACAAATCAAAATTGGAACCTACAATATTGCAAAACATGAATTCTAGGGATATAAAATTTCGTGCAAAATATCTGTTATATTGAATTAAATCCATATTCCACACTTTCGGTTTTCCTAATTTCTTTTGCATAAAGACCAAAGTTAAGTCAATTGGAATGTTCTTGGAACAAAATGCAGGCAAAAGATTTGCAAAGAAATAATGGGAATTCAAAAGTGGTGGATTTAAGAAATGTGAGCCATTAGGAACTGTTCTTTCATATTTTGTTTACTTATGTACATCTGGCTATAATTACAGATTGGGTTACTGAAACGATATATCGCTCAACAGAAACGAGAATCTGATTCAGGAGAGGGTGGAAGTGCTGCTAAACGACCAATGACCAAGTAAGTTTAATTGATGTCAACAATTTATGAAATATTATTATTTGTCTACAATTTGTATGCTAATCTTATAACTGGCATCACAATTAAAAGAATTCAACTTGAGTTCCAAATTGAAAATACAATTTTTCTGGTTGAGTTTATTTATCCTTTTCGAATCATTACTTAGATTCTATGATTTATGGCAAATGTTTGACTGTTGCTCCCCCTATTTATCGATCTTTCGACAGTGAAAAAATGTTTTTCCATTGCTGGATGTATATAAATGATATTTGACAAACATAGAATTGTCCTTTTATCCCATGGTAAATCATATTAAACTGCAGCATATTAGGAAAAGCAAATTTTGACAAAACAATTGTGAAGCTAAAAAACAAACAAAATAGATTTTGCAAAAAATAAAATTCTCAACAATGCATTTCATAAAAATATGATTAATCAAAATATATACAAAATCAAGATCATCAAATACCATTTTTGAAATAATGCATTCATAATTAGATGATCATGAAATACTGACTTTATTATTCGATATGATGATATAACATAAACATTGTTTTCAGAAAAGACCTCATTATACAACAGAAAGAGTACAAAAAGAAGAAGAATGAAAAGAAGAGACAGAGAATGAAAGAACTTGATGAAGCAAAAGAATCTGAGAAAAATAAATGGCTAGCCTTCAATGCAAAGGTTCGTACAATTGTTTTATTTCATAGCAGGAATTAAGAATGCTTTGCAAATGTTTTCAAGAAAAAATATAAGATTATGTTTGAATTCTCATGCTGTTTACAATGTACTACATCCATGTACTGATTTTTGTTTTGCTCATGAATTATTATGAGGCTTATCCAATTCAGAGGCCCCCTGGAGAGATGTGTTGAGGCTCAGAATTTAAATAACAGACAATCTAGATTTCAGACATGATCATCGGGAGTTTGCATATACATAGTTCTACATTCTGCAACTGCTTGTTTGGTGTGCAGTCATATCTAAGCATTTTTTTTTTTTAACATATTATTTATTTCCTTCATAATCAAAAAAATACACAAAATATCTACTACCGATCGCCATAGGCATTCTAGGTAGTTTAAATTACAATAGAGGATTAATTACAGTAATCATAGATGATTTATTGGTAATGTGAGAGGTTGGGAGGGAGGGGGGGGGGGTTGTCACAAGATACAAATGAGAATAACATTAATTTGATGGAAACTTCTAACAGGCCTGTACAAATTGCATCACTATATCTATCAGGATTTTCTGAGAATCAATAGTGAGTTCATTTTCATAAATCAAGTATTTGACCTGTTCTGTCTTACTAGAAATAAGTTGAGTATCAAACAATAAATTTTGTTCACGAAGTGCATTCATCATTGTATTACGTTCATGGGTATGGCGAGGGCAGGTTAGAATGAAATGCTTTGTGTCTTCAGTAGAGCCACAGAGGCATTTGTTGTCAATTATTCCAGTAAAATTATGAGTAAAGAAATGGCCTTTAAGGGCAAAATCAACTCGAAGCCTATTTAGCAGTTTTTCGTTGGTTCTACTTAAATTTAGTTTTGTAGTTGGTATGAAGTTTGAAATAGGGATAAATATCTGTTTAATAGAGCTTTTGAATCTAGAAATGGTTTGAATTTCACGAAGAGTCTGGCTTAGCTGGTTCCAATCATTTATAAGTTTTAAAACTGGTGCTTTGGAGAGTCTCATTGAAATATTTCTTGGGCAGGAAAAGGGTAAAGAGTGTCTTAAAATTCTAGTTGCTTGGTTGCGATGTTGGTCAAAAAGACTATGGACATAATAAGGCACTTCCTTTCTTACAATTTTGAACATCAGTCTTAGATTTTTTTCGTGTCTTTTGTCAGTAAGCGATTTCCACTGTAAACATTTTAAAGTTTTTGAGGTGTTAGAGCCATGCAGTACCCCAGCACATATAACAGCAGCTTGGTAGTGGATTTTATCAAGCTTTGACAAGGCCGCCAAGGATGACGATCCGTAAATGGAGCTACAATAGTCAAAATGAGACGCCAAATATGAATTATACATTATTTCAAGATGGTGCGACTGTATTTTGTTTGATATGAGCTTCAAAGGATTTAACAGTTTTTGAACTTTATTAGACAAATAGTTTATATGGTCATTAAAAGTCAAATTCTCATCTAAGATGAAACCCAGGTGCTTGTGTGATTGCTTTTGGGGGATCATTTCACCATCAAAGTAAAGCGGAGACATTTGAATATTTTTTTGTCGGATTGAGCGTAAAACTAAATGAGCACTTTTAGATGCTTTAAATTTCAGTTGCCAGGTTCTAGACCATGCACTTAAAAGATTTATGTCATTTTGGCCTATCTAAGCATAGGGTTTTACTTTCATCCAGTCAAAATACGTACCTTGTGTTTGGTAAATTGTGAAATGAAGTTACTTATATTAGTTATCTCCATTTTATGAATGGTAATCTGGCCAGACCAAAACCACTACTGCCATCTATTTATCATAGCAAGTCCGATGAGTCACTTTCAACTTGTTTTTGTCTCTTAGAGTTATAATCCCATGACATTAAATGGTAAAATGCTGCTTGTTAAATTCTCTGATGCTACAGTTATTTTTAATATTTCAGACATTTTCTAAAACCAACAAGGGCCGAGTGAAAAAGTCTATATTTGCCACACCAGATGCTGACAAGGGCAATAAAGGAAAGGTTGGCGTTGGCACCTGTGGCACAGGTGGTAGAAATATGACCAAATATGTCATTGCAGAAAAACATTGGCAGAAAAAGTGACAATAGAGAATAAAAATTATAGGACTGGACTGGTTATCGCTCCATGTGATAAGTATGAAATAGATGCTCCAGTACTGGCTACTGGTGTATATTTTCTTGCTTTGATACGGACTTTACTCACTTATCATCAGGCGTTACGATATGGAAGATAGGGAAGAAGCCGTAAAGTTTAAATGATTTTTAAACAAAATATTGCAAAAGTCTGCACATGCCTGACACATTACTATTTTGAACTGCATAAGTTACCCAATTGGTATAATTGGGTTGTAAATTTTGAAGGCATATTTCATACATCTAAAATCATCAGATATGCCTTTAAAAGGTAGTATCTTAAAGCAATCAGTATAGTCATAAATAGTGTACCAAGCCAAATGGCGTGCCCTTGAACACCTAAAGCAAGGTGTTTGGTAACTATCAGATGCACAATCTGCAATTTCAGGCAAAAACAAAAGTTCCACATACTACTAGTAATACAGTACAGGTAGGCTTAACCTTCATATGGGGCCTGAAAAATTCTTAGGAGGGAAACATATATTTGTTTTTGAATGGTCTTATGCATAGAGAATTGTTTTAGTTTCAGTCTATTTTATTTCAAAGGGCAGTGTCTTTATAACCTGAAATGTTTTTAATTTATAATCTGTGACTTGCACCATCAATCAACAGACTTTGGTGCAAAACTTGTTTTCTGAACATATCAAAGCATGAAAGAAATTCCTCACCTAGAAAGCAGTATGACAAATTCCAACAAAATTAACAACTACTTACGCCTTTGTAATTTTAAAATCAATAAATTCACTTTCACATACATATGTTTTTAAGCTTCAATATACATATGTATTTACAGAGAAGGAAGTTTATGTCAAAGTCTATTGATTGCACAAGTTACATATCGTTATGAAGGGTTGTTTTAAGATGATAAGCCCTTTATGCAATATTTACATGTTACAGAATTGACAAAAGTAAGAAGCTGACAACCTTTAAGTCACCGAGGCCATTGGATGTCGCATTTGTTTTAACCAATCAGGGTAGAGATATAGTATACTGTTTCAACAAATGTGTCCATCTGAATATAGGACTATTGAATGATGTGATGTAAATGTGAATAATTTCAACAACAAAATTAACATGAAAATTATTTTAAATACAACATGACTAGATATTGTTTTGTTCATTATGTTACCAGGGAGTTTTCTTTCAATTTTAAAATGAGATGTAACAGATGTAGATCTATTTTTTAAATGGCAAGGTCTAGATTATATTCTATTCAAATTCTATCAATGTGAAACCATACATGTATATCTACTTTAAATGAGGTTATTAGCTTTTCGCAAATTATTGATGTAGATGTTTAAAAATAAAGTTGTATGTGATACTGCTTCTGATGGTGGGACCATTGACTCAATGGGAGTTTCCAGTCCATTTCTGTAAGTCCATGCATGGGCTTCAAGACTCTTGAAAGCCCATGGGTCATGTCATCAAATACAGCCCTGTATCTCCACGGCCATAAACCTGACAAAATGAGTGAAGGGGGATTGTACAGTTTCTGCTGGAAAATTCAACAAACAAATCTGCAAGATTTATTTTAGTTGCCATTTTATTAGCATTTACTTGTATTGTATTTCGTATTATATAAGAATATTACCTACTCCATGCAATAGGTATATCATTTGCGGGTAGCCGTCACTTCAGTTTGAAGTCCAATAATGCTAGGAGTAAAAGCTATTGAAAATGGCACCAGAGTATCATACTCTAAAATGTCTTGCTTAACTTTTTAATGGTACAATATAGTGACATGATAATATTTACTTATGTTTTTAATATAATTCTGAATGTATAAGCGAGATCTAGAGATATTGGGTCTTTTAATTGTTTTTCATATGAAAAATCAATGTTTAATTTTTTTAACCACCCTGGGGGAGTAGTTCCGAAAGTGAAATACATATAGATCTCATTAATAACAAGTATGAGTTATACGGAAAACATATGTAAATATTATCATATCACCTTTATTGTGCTACTAAAGTTAAAAAAGAAATGGTACATAATTTAGAATATGATACTCTGGCACCATTTTCAATAGCTGTTACATTTTCAATAGCATTATTGGACTTTAAACAGAAATGAAAGTTACCCGTAAATTATATACCCAATTGCATGGAATATATACTTTTCTTTGTTATAACAAAACATATGAGGTGAAAAATTATTTTCTTAGTGTTTTCATTTATTTGTCATTTATGACAACAGTTCATTGCAATTTTCTTTTTATTATAACAGTATTGTTAAATTAATGGCAATTGTTTATTTAAATGTTTATGTATCAGTGGTAGTGTGATTAACAATTGAAGTTAACGATGCATAAGTCCGCAGACCAAAATTTATCATACAATCTTATGACTGGTAGTGTGATTAACAATTGAAGTTAATGATGCATAACCGCAGACCAAAATTAATCATACAATCTTATGACTAAGCACAGTTTACTTTAAAAGCCAGGCAAGAAGACAATAATTTAGGAGGAGCAAAATGTGGTAAGAGATAATTTATGAAATTGCTTTTATGACAATAATGTTTGAAGCAAAAACCAATTTTGGATGTTCCTGAACAATGATTTTTCTTTATACAGTAATTGAATTTCTGAGGATATGCAGTTTTGTTTCTGTGTGATCTTCATAATAAGTTTGGAAAGCGGCTAGCTTGGATGACCTTGACGAGCTGTACATGTTGCAGTTAAAATTGAACATTTACACATTTGAAACATTCACTTTTACAATGGTGGTAAATGATAATCTTAACTCTTACATAACTGCGCTCATAATTAGCATGGTGCCTGACTAGGGTTAAGAGAGATTTTCATTTGATAAATAAATTCATCAATAAAATCAGCATTTTTCGTAAAAAATATGGGCATCGAGCATCAAGTTAAATTGATAAACAGCTCAGATATTGTACATATCACACAATGCAAACACCACAATGTATATCCAGGACCAATGGTATGTGTGATTTATATTATGAAATTCAGATAAGCCTATTGTATTTTTTAAAATATGATGATCGAAGAAATGGTTTTATTATGTCACCACCAAAAAGTGGTGACATATTGTTATGGTCTCGGTTTTTTTGTGATGGCAGTTGGTGATTAGCGGTTGGCGTCTGTATCAATTCTTAAAACTTCCAATAACTTAACAAATACTGTTTAGACTGACTTCAGTAATTGTGACCAACTAGGTGGTGACAATTTGTCATGTTAATGCCTTGTCTATTATTGCATTGATATGAAACAGAACTAAAGTTGATATATGAGATTGAAACAGAATATATTTTTTTAATTTGTCAGGTTCTTGGAATTACTTGTGGTTCTTTTTATTACCACCATATTGTTTCGAACAAGTCACGGAAGAGTTGGTCACCATAAGAAATGTGCTGTGAATAGTACAGCTCAAGTTGAAAAGTATGACAGGGTGTTTGTGTTTGCTGGGGAGGCCAAGAAAGTTATCTTAAAAAGACAACCCTGGCCAGAGTCTGCGTACGAGCTTCATAAGTTAGCAGGAAGGGAAACAAGGAAACAGATTATACAAGAAGGTATTACAAAGGTAGAAAAACAATAACTCCCCAGGGAATCGTTCTTGGAAGTGTCATTACGAAAAGTAGACATTGGTTTTCTCAGAATCGTAAGTTACGATCCTACCAAAAATGAACTCCTGAATGAAATCCCACAAGGGGAGCTTGAATCTCACTATCAATTTGATCACTATAGACATAGACATCTCATATTGGGATTCATTACCTCAATTTTAATTCCAATTTGAATACCAATACAAATCTCAATATAGTAGTTTATATCAATATAGCAAAGGATGTTTAGATCTACTTCTCTGCAACAAATATGTAGATTCATAATCATAACCTCTGTTTGAATCTCAATACCAATACCAATATGATTTCATATTAGGATTCATAATTATAATATCTGTTTGAATCTCAATACCGATACCAATATGATTTCATATTAGGATTCATAATCATAATATCTATTGAATCTCAATACCGATACCAATATGATTTCATATTAGGATTCATAATCATAATATCTGTTTGAATCTCAATACCGATACCAATATGATTTCATATTAGGATTCATAATCATAATATCTGTTTGAATCATGTACAAAATGTGTACAATATGTCCCCACCAATGGGTGATCCCGTCAAATGGTTATCCTGAAAATGAGTAGACAAGACTTTACCGTTACAATTTTGGGATGGTAAATGCAAAATGGCCATCTTAAAATTTACCCAGAATGCCAAAAAATTAGTCAGCTTTAGATTTTCATACTAAGAACCAACCCTGAAAATTTGAAATTGATCCGTCAAACAGTACACCAATAAAAGCGTACACAAGACTTCACAGACAAGATTTTAGGACTGAAATATCCAAAATGGCTGCCTTGACATTTGCCCAGAATGCCAAAAAACTAATCAGCTCTAGATTTTCATACTAAGAATCATCCCTGAAAATTTGAAATTGATCTACCAAACGGTTCACCTGAAAACAAGTAGACAAGACTTTACAGACAAGATTTTAGGACGGAAAATCCAAAATGGCTGCCTTGACATTTATCCAGAATGCCAAAAAACTAATCAGTTCTAGATTTTAATACAAGGAATCATCCCTGAAAATTTGAATTTGATCTACCAAACGGTTCACCTGAAAACACACAGACAAGACTTTACAGGCAAGATTTTAGGACGGAAAATCCAAAATGGCTGCCTTGACATTTACCCAGAATGTCAAAAAACTAATCAGATCTAGATTTTCATACTAAGAATCATCATTAAAAATTTGAAATTGATCTACCAAATGGTTCACCTGAAAACACTTAGACAAGAGGTACTTTACAGACAAGATTTTAGGACGGAAAATCCAAAATGGCTGCCTTGACATTTACCCAGAATGCCAAAAAACTAATCAGATCTAGATTTTCATACTAAGAATCATCCCTGAAAATTTGAAATTGATCTACCAAACGGTTCACCTGAAAACGCGTAGACAAGACTTTACAGACAAGATTCTAGGACGGAAAAATCCAAAATGGCCGACAATAAAAAAGTGATTATTAGTTTTTGCTGATTTCTTTTTACAAAATTATCACATATAACTACTGTTAACAATAACATAGGCTTCTACAATAAAGTACACCTGGAATTATTTATAAAGCTACTAAATAGTTACAGTATGAAAGCTCAAAAACACCGTTCAATATGATATAAAGTATTAACGCGCGCTAACTTTTCTTAAGACATTCAAAATGGCTGCCACGACTGAGCTAACAGGTCAAAAACCTAATCAGATGTAGAATGAAGTAAGCTGAACAAGATGTTAAAGTTTTAAAAGCAACTGTGTAGCCGTTTTTCTTAAAAGTTTGCAGACAAGGATTTTAGCATTTGACTTCAAAATGGCCGACAGGAAGTAGGTATCGAGTTAAAAGTTTTTCTTCCACATCTGTATGCACTCATAAGTTATCCCTGAAAATTTGAAGGTGATATCTGTAGCGGGTTTGGAGAAAACTGCCGGACGGACGGACGCGCCTAGGCCGACAATATGGCCCCACATATGTGGTGGGGACATAAATTGTTGATAGACTGTATTATTAATACATGGTGATTTTTCTCTATAGGAAGGAATGCTCTTGATTACTTCAAGAACAGATATGGACTAAATGTGAGCCATTTAATTACTGATGACCAGATTTACAATGGTGAGGATGTAGCATTTGGAAATTTTACATTCGTACACGAGGTTCACTATCTCAATGAAGGTCCCTATCGATTGATAATGGAATCAAAGGGAGATACAGCTCACTATTATAACAACCCACCAGAAGTTGGCTTAGTTGCTTTTAGTTTGGACATTCACGAGGACCTCAATGCGGGAGGTACCTTTGACAAAACTTTGTATCCTGGAGATTCACTAGGTTATGGAGATTACATCATTAAAACACCTAAGCGCTGTTCAATTGATGGTTTGACTGTTATTCATTTTCTTGCTAAATCGGTGAGCTATAAAGGAGGATATGCTGTTATCACACATGCTGACTATGGGACAGGTTCATATCAACTATCACTAGTAACACATGATGATGGTGTAATTCGAGGAGTTAATGTGCTTCGTTTTCCAGCTCAATAACAATTACACCTTAAGTCAAATATACAATGTATCAACAATCACTTAAATGAGTATTCTGTTACTTATGTCTTAATATACATGTAGACACCGGAATAGCCTGACAACGGTAAAGTCAGATACCGTTGTCACAAATGGTGGACATAACTTAATCACTTGGTCCTCGTTTCATGGGACTTTATCGTTGCTAATTCTGTGCATGTGTTAAGCTCATGTGATGAATATGATGTATTATATGAAATCCAAATTTCTATCAAATGGGGTCGTGAATCGCCACAATATAGCATCTTCGATATCATCAATGGCAACCGAATCTGAGTTTGAAATAATTTACAAAGACAACGGCATATGGTAAGATGTGACAATGGACTATGGTGGATGTATTGTATTGGAACATAGGAAAGAGACAACAGTAAATAGACACTTTACAGTTGTCTTTACATATACCTTTGTCAAATATTACCATTGTCACCTCGATTTTACATCACATTTGACCCACACCTGCCGTTGTCATTTATACAGTATCTGTTGTCCTGTTACATATTCCGATCGGTAAAATTAAAGCCTTTATTTCAATGGTAGAACATATTAATCTATATGTATATGATCAGTAGGAATTTAATCTAGGCGCTCTATTAAACATACAGTTCATGAAAAACTAATTGAAGCGACGGTTTTGTCCACCATTTGTGAGAACGGTATTTGACTTTACCATTGTCAGGCTACTCCGATGTGATGTAAAAGCTTTGGTGGAGGAAGTTGACTTTTTGGTGGCCATCTTGCATTCTGGCAGCCATCTTGGAAGTTTTAGATAAATCTTGTCATCATGACTCCAGGAAATTCACTTTACGGATTTACTTCAAATTTTTACACATGCTACATGGTAAGAAGTTCTAGAGCTGATTAACTTTTTGGTGGCCAACTTGCATTATGGTGGCCAACTTGCATTATGGTGGCCATCTTGGAAGTTTTTAGATAAATCTTGTCATCGTGATTCTAGGAAAACCACTCAACGGATTTACTTTTTTTCAATTGTAAGAAGTTCTAGAACAGATTAACTTTTCAGTGGCCATCTTGCTTTCTGGGTCATCAAGCCCAAACTGCTATGTTTTAGGTACGATATTGTTCACCCTGTGCCTTGTTGAAGTTGACAAACCATTGACATTAATTCAATCAGTCAAGATCATGTCATTTGTGATAGAGCCCTCCACATTGCCACATGTACATCATAAGTGTTCTTATAGAATATGAAACTAGCACTTGCCAAATATATTTGTACACCAAAAGTCACTTGGGGTCAAATAGGTCATTTTAGAGTTTGAACAATGGACGATAGAATAGACGTTTCCGATAAATCGTCCCATCTTTTGATCCATCGGGGAAACTATTACTTATTGGCTAGATTGATGATGTCATTGGTTGTAGGTAGCAAACTGCCCATTCAAAAATGGTATTAACTTTTTGCTAATTTTACAAAAGTACAACCTATGACATCATCAATCTAGCCAATATATTGTGGTTTCTCTGATGGATTAAAAGATGGTACGATTTATCGGAAACATCTATTGTAAAATGTGTAGCACACTGGGTGAAATTTCAAATGATATTTCAAAGCTAAAATTATTACATAGATTCCAAACATTAAGCTAAGTGCATAATTCATATCTGTATATCATATCCCCAAAATATCTATAATTCATAAGAAACATTTGAAAAGGATGTTTATGTGCATATTTAGTTTATTTATAGGCTATACGTATAATATGGATAAATTATAATTGGTCCCTGAAGTTTGTGATATTCTAAGAATGCACTATGAAGTTTGTAATGTTCTTATGGCCTATATCCTACAAAGAGTACAATGCGTATTTAACAAGGCACAACAGCATAGCACATGCACAAATATACTAGAGCAAGTAACGTAGCATCTTTTGAAATATCCATTTGAATGTAAAAGGTCTAAAAATGTACATCAGGTTGTTTTTGAGTGATTTCTATATATATTTCAAAATGAGTAAAAAATTTATGCTAGACTATGTTATACAAATACAATGCTACAAAATAACAAAAAGGGCAATGTGTACCTTATCTTCCATACAATTTTCCCACATTCAATTTCAAAAATAAAAATCCATAATTTATTTTTACTCTTCTATACTTTTAGATGATGATTTTCCACATCTCTGACTGATCAGCAGTTTTTACATATTATAATTTAAACTACTCGTATTAATTACTATGCTTCGGAAGCACGATAGCAAAATTTACAAACATTGATAAAAAATGAATGAAATGTACACATATATTACAAACATTTACATTAATATATTCCCCTAGAACAAACATGAAGTATATTTCTGAGTTGTCTATGCATCTATGATATGGAATTCTTTAGAATGCCTTACAGAGTTTGAATGTTAACATAAAAGAGACAGATATATCTGTTAGGATAAACCCAATACCGAAACTTCCCACTTTTTACAACAAGGTAATAATTGATATATTTCAGCAGAATCCAGTCATTCTCATTCAGGTAAATGCTGAACTTACTAATTCTGAATTCATTGCAAGTCATTGAACAGGAAAATACTTCATTAAGTTAAAGCATTTTATAGTGAGACATTTTGCACATGTACATGCTTTTGTTGAATATCTATCTAATTCATTGCAGTGAAATGGTTATGTATCGGTCTATATTTCCCTTTAATTAGTTAAGCTCATTTCATTTACTTTTGTTAGTTAAATTTTTTAGACTATGTTAATATCTTTATAGACAATTATTATATCGGATGTGATGTCATTAACTTGTAGAAATTGTAATAAAAAGTTTCAATAATTTTGAATGAAAACAATGCTTCCAAAAATCAATGACATCATGAATCAAAGAGAATAAATGTACTCCCACTAGCCAGTTTCTTTGGAGTAGCAAATGAGGCAAGACTGATTTTCATTCCTCATGTACACATCGTACCATTTCTATGGCAACCAAGGAAGCCAATGGGGGGATTGATTTCACACTTCTGTGCCACTTACAGGTTATTAATAATAGACATGGAAAATCGAAGCCAAAAGGGGTATAAACCTAATGTTGGACTTTATTTCAACAGTTTTATCTAAATTTTGGAATGTATATTTCCCAGAAAAATCTTTCCTTGAGCCTTGCTATGCTGCTAGCTTTTAACATATATATTGTACACTCCTGGCGTTCAATGTGTTTTCTATGTTGTACACTCCTGGCATTCAATGTGTTTTCTATATTATACACTCCTGGCGTTCAATGTGTTGTCTATGTTTAATACACTCCTGGTTCTAACTATTGTATAGTTTATGTAATCTCTTCCGTGTGTTAGCAGCATCTACTTTTAGCCACTTCACCCCGAGGTGTTGCCCCGTCCCCTAAAGTAACTCTCTCCTGATCCTGATCAGTGTCACCAAAATTCATAGCTTTATCATTCTGTAAAATCTGTAAAATAAACACACATGTTCAATGACACAAAAAGAAACCATAAATAGTGTATGTTATGTCATCTTTAAAGATGTATTCAATAATATACAAAACAATACATCAAATATAAATTAAATAATAAAGCATCTTGAATTATGTATTATTGCAACTTAAAACAAGGCAAAATTCAATTCATTTTTGTTTATTATTGACTAAGTTTTTTAGAGCTTCATGTTTGTGCCATTAACTGACTGATTAAAAATATTCAAGTGAAGCCCATTAACTCCTGAAAACCCCATAAACTCCTGAAAACCCCGCAAACTCCTAAAAACCCCATAAACTCCTGAAAACCTACTTGAGTAACTAAACATCTAGCAGCTTCATCTATGTTGATATTTTCCTTAGCTGAGGTTTCGAACCATGAGATAAATCCCTTTTCTTTACAATAGTCTTCCATCTGTGAGGCATTGTTAACCAGACCCTCTTTAGCTTGGTCACACTAAAACAAACAAGGCATTTCAAAATTATAAAACAAGGCATTAACATGACAAAATGTCACCACCTATTTTGAAAAAAAAAATTAGTCAATTTGAAGCAAGTTGAAAAAAGACCTTTTTGACCTTTTTTGACCTTGAGAAGGTCATTGAAGGTCAAATGTCAAATCTAAAGTCATATTTGAATTTCTGAGAACATGTAGATGATTTTGAAAAAATATTTAGTCAATTTGAAGCAAGATGAAAAAATACCTTTTTGACCTTTTTTGACATTGAGAAGGTCATTGAAGGTCAAATGTCAAATCTAAAGTCAGATTTGAATTTCTGAGAATTTTGAAAAAAAAATTTAGTCAATTTGAAGCAAGCTGAAAAAAGACCTTTTTGACCTTTTTTGACTTTGAGAAGGTCAAATGTCAAATCTTAAGTCAAATCTAAAGTCAGATTTGAATTTCTGAGAACAAGTAGATGATTTTGAAAAATTTTTTTAGTCAATTTGAAGCAAGTTGAAAACAGACCTTTTTGACCTTTGGTCAAATGTCAAATCTTAAGTCAAATCTTAAGTCAGATTTGAATTTCCGAGAACACATAGATGATTTTGAAAAAAAAATTTAGTCAATTTGAAGCAAGTTGAAAACAGACCTTTTTGACCTTTTTTGACCTTGAGAAGGTCATTGAAGGTCAAATATCAAATCTAAAGTCAGATTTGAATTTCTGAGAACATGTAGATGATTTTGAAAAAAAAAATTAGTCAATTTGAAGCAAGTTGAAAAAAGACCTTTTTGACCTTTTTTGACTTTGAGAAGGTCAAATGTCAAATCTTAAGTCAAATCTAAAGTCAGATTTGAATTTCTGAGAACACGTAGATGATTTTGAAAAAATTTTTTAGTCAATTTGAAGCAAGTTGAAAACAGACCTTTTTGACCTTTTTTGACCTTGAGAAGGTCATTGAAGGTCAAATGTCAAATCTTAAGTCAAATCTTAAGTCAGATTTGAATTTCTGAGAACACGGAGATGATTTTGAAAAAAAAATTTAGTCAATTAGAAGCAAGTTGAAAACAGACCTTTTTGACCTTTTTTGACCTTGAGAAGGTCATTGAAGGTCAAATGTCAAATCTAAAGTCAGATTTGAATTTCTGAGAACATGTAGATGATTTTGAAAAAAAAAATTAGTCAATTTGAAGCAAGTTGAAAAAAGACATTTTTGACCTTTTTTGACTTTGAGAAGGTCATTGAAGGTCAAATGTCAAATCTTAAGTCAAATCTAAAGTCAGATTTGAATTTCTGAGAACACGTAGATGATTTTGAAAAGATTTTTTAGTCAATTTGAAGCAAGTTGAAAACAGACCTTTTTGACCTTTTTTGACCTTGAGAAGGTCATTGAAGGTCAAATGTCAAATCTTAAGTCAGATTTGAATTTCTGAGAACACGTAGATGATTTTGAAAAAAAAATTTAGTCAATTTGAAGCAAGTTGAAAACAGACCTTTTTGACCTTTTTTGACCTTGAGAAGGTCATTGAAGGTCAAATGTCAAATCTACAGTCAGATTCGAAGGTCAAATGTCAAATCTAAAGTCAGATTTGAATTTCTGAGAACATGTAGATGATTTTGAAAAAAAATTTAGTCAATGTGAAGCAAGTTGAAAAAAGACCTTTTTGACCTTGAGAAGGTCATTGAAGGTCAAATGTCAAATCTAAAGTCAGATTTGAACTTCTGAGAACATGTAGATGATTTAGAAAAAAATTGAAGTCAGTCTAAACAGTATTTGTTAAGTTATAGGAAGTTGTAAGAAATTGTTACAGACGCCAACCGCCGGACGCCAACCACCGGACGCCAACCACCAACCGCCGGACGCCGTCGCAAAAAAACGGAGACCATAACAAAATTGAAAATCTAATTTAGTGTTACCATTATAAAGAAACAGACAGGTTTTTTTCATGTATGCCTGTATGGACATTGAACAATAAAGCATGACAAAACATGACATAACAACATGTCACCACTTGTTAAAATGGTTACAAAAGTGTGACAGTTGTTACAGATCCCAAAAGCCAACCAACGACACTTCTTGATGGGGAAAAATATATTTCTGTCAAAATAGATCAAATAAGCCCCACATGTAGTATCAATTTCCAAAAAATTACATCTAAAAATTAAGCGCTGTATGTAGTTGATGAACATGTGATCAATATTTTATTTACTTTAGCATTAGCCTACCTTATTAGCTAACAAAACACAAGGAATCTGACTGCCATCTGGTAGCTGAACCTTACTGTCCAAGTCATTTTTCCACTTTTGTACAGCTTCAAATGTAGATGCCCTGGTGACGTCAAATACTATAAAACATCCCACTGCCTCTTTGTAGTATACTCTAGTCATATTTCCAAACCTCTCCTGGCCTGAAAATACACATTTCATCAAAATTCAGAGAAAACATAGGCCAATATATACCAAAAATTTGGATTTGTAGTCTGAAGTTTAGGAAGAAGACAAAAGAAAGATCCACCTAGAGAAAGATATTCCAAAATAAGGGGTTGCACTTTCACATCACCTTTTTATTGAGAAGTTCCAGATGACATTACTGAGCTTTTCTGATTTCTCTTTCGGATATTTATTTTGTTGGTTTCAAGGATGTTTTTTAATGACCTATAACCTAGCTCACCACCATTGTTAAGTAATCAAAGATCAGTGAGATACAAGGGATGATCAATAAATTTTACAAGTGAAACTCTTGTGCCATTTAAGATTTCTTTCTTTAAAAAACAACAGAAAAGATGTTTTAAGGTGACCAAGTACTAAGATATTTATTCTGAAGGTGTCTCAAGTATTTCATATATATTATAAACGATCTCTAGCTTATCAACCCTGTTGAACTATCAATGATAACTAGTGAAGCACTAGTCAAATACACTAATATATAAGTTCTTCAAACATTGTTCAGTTGGCTATCTTCATTATGTCAATAGTGCTATCTACATTCTTTTCTTATTCATGGAATTTATTTCACTAAATATGTTCATGTATAATAAAAAACAATCACTTGTATGGCTTGGCCATTTCATTACAAATTGAACAATGTCAATGTCAGTTGTCTTATAGTGGTTAAGCAACTGGTAGGACAATTTCAAAGAAAAATATGATAGCAGCAATCATAAAGTCGCCATTAAGATAGCTCAGTAGTATCACTGGTTGTCAAAAGTTATTTAACAGTCAATGTCCAATGACCTTATTCGATTGAGTAACTCAAAATGTAACCTTATGAAACAGGGTTATAATACTGGTCATAAACAATAAGCAGAAAACTAAGTACAAACTGATTATACGTTATATCAGGGGTTTCTCAAATAAACAAATATCACTAAATTTTAATCTATTAACAGACTGTCAACAGGAGTGAAGCACCACAAAGACAAATACTTAGGCAAATACATGAAAACTTACAAGACAACACAAGAAGAACAGCAACTCCTCTAAGTAGCAAATCCTACTATAAAACATATTTCACAAATCAATCTTGCAAAACCAATATTATCAATTCACATATAGCAATAACGCATTTGTTGTATGGTTGTCAAGGTGATAATTGCACTCACATATTGAAATTGATGCTTTGCCAACTTGACCCTTAGAAAAAAAGTTTCATTGAAAATATGTTCTTTTTATGATTTTGTATATTTTAGGTGATTTTGTACAAAATATGTGTGAAAAGAATTGAAGCCCAAGCATTGTGGCTGCTTCGTTCAACTCAGTTGTTTCCTAAATTTTGCATTTCCGCTGTGCGGTCATTCAAAGATTTGGAAACAACATCTTCAATAGAATGGTTCAGCACCCAATGCACTGAGTCCGAGTCCAGGGCTTTAAATTCTGAAATAACTCATCATTTAGAACATTTTATGACAGATTTCATGACATTGGCAGTAGTGTTTCTCCTTTTGGCAAAATCTACACTCTACACCCTACACCCATTTCTTCTTAAGTAGGGTCCCATGCTAATAAGTTATCAGCCTATAAAAGGAACAAATCACTCAATCAGCATTTGAGATATCAAAGATAACATTTTCATGAATAAAGGTAGCTATTTTGAGTTGAGCGGCCATATTAAAGAAATCCTATCTCAAGCAGAGGTCCTGTGCCCATAAGGCATAAACCCTACTAGAACCTAATTCTTCAACTGGTATTTGAGTTATATAATAGCCTGGATAAACAAAAGAATGAATGGATGGACAGAGGGACAGGAAAACGAATGGTTTTTCTTCATCTCTTCTAAACTTTGTTTGGTGGGATGGTAACAATCTTCTAGGTTCTATGCACTCAGTTGAGTTCATATGTGTTATACATGCTTAAAACATATGTAGACTACTTTCAGGGGCAGATCTGGGAACCAACAAGGGGGGGCCAAATTTCAGGTCAGAGAAAAAACAAAAAGTGGGCCCAAATTTTGAGGCCCATTTTCTTTAAAATTTGGCCTTAAAGTAAAAATAAGTTAAAGGGCCAGTAATGACCAAAAAGGCCCCCTTTTTTCGCCCAGCTCCCCCCCCAGATCCGCCAGTGACTTTATAAAGCATAGCCATAAACTCTCTTTTCTGTTTTTTAATATTGCAGTTTGATTACTTTATGGAACAAGACCAAACGACCTTGACATATTCTTAACCCTACCTATTATCTGATTTAATAATCAACACAACTATACATACCATTGGGCAAAAAAATAACTAATTTTTGATCAATAAAATTAGGTTATAAAACCAGAAGTGTGTTCCCTGACATCAGCGCATAACTGACTTCATTTATTTTCAAATTCTGCTTTGGATTTGATTTTTAATGCTTCTAAATAATCTTCAAATGGTTACTATTAGAAACTTCCCTGCCTCATGGTAAAATTGTATCAAAATTGGACATCTTATCTTTATGTGATATCTCTAACACACTGAATATCATCTTTCAGAATACATACACAATCTGAGAGGTTTCATATACGGTATGTTATAGTTTGCACATACTATGTTAGTAAAACAATACTTGAACACAGGGGCGTAGGAAGGTGTAAATTCAACACTACGCCAAAAATATGAAACAATTGTGTCAATATTCTATATCAAAACGCCTATTTTATGCTCGTAAAATGTCATTTTATGAAAACAGAGATTTTAAGCTTGCAATGTTTTTCACAACCTAAATGTGAACGGAAATACTAAAGCGATGCATTTGTATGGGCGATTGGTCATACGTATAGGTTGGCGTTTCGATTTTATATGCAAGCTTTAAATCCCTGATACCTTTTTAATGTGCTTTAAAATGTTCGAATGATTTTCATCATTTAAAATCACCTTGGAAAGCCTATCTTTTAAATCTCGACACAAATCATTCTCACTTTGCTAATGCACCCTATGCAGACAGAGCCTGTGGGAAATATTGGGTGCGGAGCAAATAAGCGGAGGGTGCGGAGCTAACGGTCATTTTTGAATTTAAATTTGGGATATTTCTGAAACTAAGCCGTTTTGGGACTTCAAATATACCAAGATATGTGTATTTGACACCAAATATCAATACAATTGTGAAAATAGTAGCGCAATTCATTCTATAGCGACGCAGTGTGCCTTAAACCTTTCCCAGACCTATATATTTTGAAATTATCCTTTTAATACTGAGTCCCCAGCATTCATAAAAAATGGTGTTCAAGGTGCACTATCTATACAAATTATTTTTGCATCTTGGAAGCCAGGCAGTATCTGTGTGATTTTATAAAAATTCGGAAATGTTTTTCAGATATGAGCCCCCTCTAAATATTGGGTGCGGAGGAGCTCCATAAACGTACTATAAAGAACATAGGAAAATTTTTATTCTCACTTTTCAACACTACGCACTGGCGTTTTGGCGTACATTGTTCCTACGCCACTGGTACATGCATATTTGTGAATGCATTGTTTATAAAAATGACATTGAACAGAGTACACAAGTTGAACAAATGCTTATACAGCTTGCACAAACTTTTTCCGTTCACAAACAATGATGTGAAGATCACATACCTAGATGTAACTTAATTTGTTTCTAGAGATGTTCAAGATTTTATTTGTGATTTTTTGTGACTTTTGACTTTCTATGGAGGGCGCTGTATTGTAGAACCAGGATGCAAATGTCACATGACTTCAAATCTCGCACCCTGTGTGAAGTGCAAGTTGTTTGTCACAGCATTTGCGAGCAGGAACCATCCTATGCAAGTTTTAACTCAATGCGTGTGTAAAATTGACATGTTCGTTCGAAATTTACTTTGATCTGTGTGTAATTCTTTCAATATAATTCTATGGTACTTATAACACAATCCGTGTGACATTGCTTTGGATTTTTGCAAAGTGATTCGAATCAAGTGTACCTCTTTGTGTGACACTTGATAGAACCAGTTCGTGCGTGAATGAAAATGAGTTATGTAAAAAAAACAGAACAATGGCAACGCCAAAGTGTAGCGAATCCCATCGAACAGAAATGGCTGGCATTTTTACAAACAAAATATATAGCAAATATCAAATAACACATATAAGAAAGGCCACCATTTTCAAAATGGTTGCTCACTAGCCAAGTTGTCATCAGAAGACAGTATTCTTTATAGTATTCACATACCAAATATGAACAAAATCGCTCCACTACTTTTCGAGTGATAGTAAAATACTTTAAAATGGTGGAAATTTTTCAAAATGGCCACCTTCTACCACAAGTGTCATTAGACAGTGTACCATGCTTATAGTATTCACATACCAAATATGAACAAAATCGCTCCACCACTTTTCGAGTTATAGCAAAATATGTTAAAATGGCAGCCATTTTTCAAAATGGCCACCTTCTACCAAAAGTGTCATTAGACAGTGTGCCATGCTTATGTCATTCACATACCAAATATGAACAAAATCGCTCCACTACTTTTCGAGTTATAGTAAAATACGTTAAAATGGTGGCCATTTTTCAAAATGGGCGCCTTCTACCAAAAGTGTCATTAGACAGTGTGCCATGCTTATAGTATTCACAAACCAAATATGAACAAAATCGCTCCACTACTTTTTGAGTTATAGTAAAATATGTTAAAATGGCGGCTATTTTTCAAAATGGCCGCCTCCTACCAAAAGTGTCATTAGACAGTGAGCCATGCTTATAGTATTCACATACCAAATATGAACAAAATCGCTCCACTACTTCTTGAGTTACAGCAAAAATCGTAAAATAACGAGTAAAGGCCGCTATTTTTCAAGATGGCTGCCATGTGCTCCTTTAATATCTATATTTCTAGCTTTATCAATGTCCTATATAATTTTTTTGCATTTAAAACATATTGCTATTACAGTTTTATATATTGCACCTCAATTACTGTAAAATCGCCACTAAAATGGCCGCCTTTTTTAAATGAGCGACCATTTTGAAAATGGGCTTTCGAGCAGAACTTCTACCCCCATAGGGTATATGTGTACAAAATATGAACAAAATCGGGCCAACGGTATTTGAGTTATTGCCCGGACGGGCGGACAGAAGGACGGACATACGTACAGACGGATGGAGGCGTTCCCTATATCCCTCCGAACTTCGTTCGATGGGATAATAAACTGTTGGTATAACATGGATTGAAAATCGCAAACGATGATGCGAGTTTCGCATATGATGATGATGCGTATTTCACATATTTTGATGTGAGTTTTCGAATCATATAGTTTGAGTGTCAAATCATATGGTTCAACTTTTCACATGGATTGTGTATTGTCCAATTTTGATACAAAATAATTTCCATACATAAAATACCCTTTGCATTCGTTCGACTTTACTTCTTAAAAGAGAGCTTCGCCTTCACTCTTTCAATTTGCAATAAATCCCTGATCTCACCGAGCCAATCAGAGTTTGTCGTCAAAAAACGGAAGACTTTCTACATGGTCATTTCCTCTGACATCCCTGCATAGTCAATGAGCATGTATTTAGCACATGTTCCTTCAACTTTGCTGATTGGTTGAAAAAGGGTCAGCGGAGTAGATTTGAAATTATTTATTACCCAGGAAGTCACATGTACCAATCTTTGGGGTGGGGCTGCTAAACTGTAATATAGTCTATAATAGGCAGAAGGTAGTTTATAATTAGACTCTGCACGCAGGGTATATATAAAATATTTTTGTAAAGAAATAATTTGAAATAAATCAAAGAAATATAATTATTTACAAAAATAGTACAAATCATTTGATTTGAATCTTTTCTTTGATAATTGTGTTTTTTTCACACAAGATCCTTATAACTTGGGATTGAGAAATTGAGGTCATCATGACACAGTCACATTGAAGTTCCAACAATGTAGTGTCAGACATCATTTGTTGGAGCAACATAATATTAAAAGTATAGAACTTGCCAATTAAAACATGTTTGGCATTTATAAACTAAACAAGATTATTTGAATGATCATTTTGTATATACCATTACCCCTCATCTTCACAGCTTGATTTATGGCAATAATAATGATGTTGAAACTTTTTAGTAAAATCTAAATGCATTTAGCGATTTATTCATCAACTTTCTCTTGAAAAAATGAATCTTTTTTTGAATGAAAAAAAAATGAATGGTTAAAAGTATGAATGTCTTTCAGATCGCATTCCTTACTCAGAGATAGTTATTGTTTGTTTCTTTTAATTCAAAGTGATAACACAAATTTTGCATTATCATTGACATGTGTTTGAATAAGCTATTTATGTATTCATTAACCTTATTGTGTTTTACTTTCATATTTGTCAAGGGAAAATCATCATATCAATAGATTTTCATGTTCTCATTCAAAAAATAGATTACTATCTAACATGATTTTTGCTTCTTGTCTAGCAATGCCCATGTATCTACACGTGATTTATTCTGCAAATTTTTGGCAAAGCAGCTGGGTACGACCATCAATATTACCTGCTATATACCCAATTAGGTTTAGTTACTTGCCATTATGATCTCAAAATTAACCACCTTATCCCAAATTATGAACATTACTTGCTATAATTACCTGCTATATATCCAATTAGGTTAAAGTTACTAGATATTATCTCAAAATTAACCACCTTATCCCAAATTATGAATATTACATGCTATAATTACCTGCTATATCCCATAACTGCAATCGTATTAGAGTATCAGCATCCCAGTTTATAACCTTAAGTGCAAAATCTACACCAATCTGTAGAGTGTGGTTAAGTAATATAACCAAAATTAACAATGCTATGAAAGTAAGACTGGCAATAGACAGGCCATTTATCAGAAATATCACAAGATACATATTAAGAATTGAATTGATTTATGATATTATAATACATGTAGTTACAAGCCCGGTCGTAGCCAGGGGATGGGGTCAAAAATTCTTTCAAAATCAAACAGTTTTTTACCATTCTGATTTTGGGCCAAAGTTGTCAATGTGAACCCTCATGGCCAAGGCCTCCAATCATTCGCTTTACCAGATAAAACTGCTCCAAAGAGCGCCAGCTATCCTGAGGGAAACTTCGGAGGGAACCAGCTACTAGACGGTTTGATTAGTCTTTCGCCCCTATACGCAACCCAACAACCCCCCCCCTTGGCAAAAGCTGGCTAAGCTAATAAGATATGGTAGTTTACAATATCTTTTAGAAATGGCATCTATGACTGTAAACTCAGTAGGCAGACGAAAATAAAACACACCCTTTAATAATTCAAACATTTTGCCAGTCTGCAGGTACACATATCATCTTTAATATAATGAAGTGCAGTTAAATTTTAAATGTTTGGAACTACTTTAAATTTAAAAAATAAGCAATCAAACGACCATATTGAAACAGTATATATAAAAATAGAAACATTTGTACATGTCCTAACTTTTGCATATTTTAGTTTGTTTTGTAGTTATTAGCTATCATATCTGTGGCCTCTTATATTTTGATGCTTCTCTGCCAGGTTATTTTCGAAAAAATTAACATGGCTGAAACTCCCTAAATTACAAAAGGCCACAGCTTTACTGCACATTATATACCTAATAACTATCTGAAATATACAAAAGTTAGGACAAGTATATATGTTTCCATTTTTTATATACTCTTGCAATATAGTCATTTGATTGCTTATTTTTTTTTAAATTCAAAGTAGCTCCAAACATTTAAAATTTTACTGTATATACTCACTCTCTCAGACATTTAAATAATACAATATTGGAACAGATCAGCCAGGCATGAAATATTTTGCGTGTAAAGGATACAGTAGCTCGGTAGTGTTGTGAGAAAAACTGGTGAACATATCGTTTTATTATGCTTGTCTTTCCTGTCCCCAGTTCACCAATTACTAGAATTTTGTACAAATGCTCTCTCTTTTCTCCGGTACTCTGGAAAACATGAACAAAGAGCACATTTAAAATAGGTAGGCAATTAGATGGTCTAAAGAAAATAATGAAGATGTTTTATTTAATCGTACTTATTACTATATATAATGGTACATGTAAATTTCATTAAAAATAGATTTTTAACAGTGTTTTTATGTTAAAAATAAGCTGTGAATAAATTGTCATAAACTGTCATAATAGTCTTCTGCATTTAATTTCAAGAATCACTGTTCCACAACTGGATGACTCTAACTGCAGTTAGCTTCATTCAAGATGGTGGACAAAATTCGTTCGTTTTCGATAAATCTCCAATTACAGCCAAACCAAGCTGAATCTTGATCCCAAAAGTTTCGCCATGCAAACTAATAAAGATATGATTGTAAACAACCACAAATAAAGGCTCACGCACCCGCGATATTAGAGAAATTGAAAGAAAACGGCTTCACTTAGAATGACTCTAACTGAAGTTAGTGATGACGTAGGAATGAAGCTAACTGAAACGGGGAATGAAGCTAACTCAATGGGATGAATATATGGACGGCCCTGTCTGTTGTTATAAGATATCTAAATGTTATTGACTGTTGTTATTCACCCTTGGTATACGCAGCTGACGAAATGGACCGGTACGGGTCAAAAGCTGGACCGGTTCAGGTTAACGGTTTTATTTGAATTTAAAACTGCCATAACTTGCTCAATATTGACTTTTTTAGTTTCTAAGTTGAAATATATGATGCCTCTGAATGATTTTAAGTTCCCTAAATTTTTACAGATTTTTAAACGAAACAAATTCTCGAGAGAAGACCAAAAATAGCATTTAGAGATTTTTGTTCCGTTTAAAAATCTGTAAAAATTTGGGGTACTTAAAATCATTCGGAGGGATCATATATTCCAAATTAGACACGAAGAGATCTCACTATGTATGAATAGGTACCAAACCTATCGCAACCACTAACTTGTATCTAAACTCCACGATACACCAAAACCCAACACAACCTGCTACTCAATATACAACCTACCACAACCAACCATTACAACCTACCACAACCAACCATTACAACCAAGCACAACCCATAAGATCCCCAACAACGCAACACAACCAATGTCTGAAGAATTAGAACGCAGCTGAACTCACAATTACCAAGAACACAACCCACTGTCAAATTAGCACAACACAATTTGGCACAACCACACAACCAAAGCAAACTATCAAAACACAATCAGGAACAACCAAACTAAAACCCCAACACAGAGAGATCACACAACACTACCGAACACAACCAAATAAACTCACCCGACTAGGCACAACCGACCACCTATATTAACATAATCGGGCACAACCCGCCACCACCCCTCATTTAACGATCTGGCACAACCAACCACACAACACAATCGGACTCAACCAGATACCTCACCTGACTGGGCACAACCTGCCCCCCGACCAGCATAACAAAATCACAACATAACACAACGCATTTTAAAATTAACATAACACAATGAGGCACAACTCGAAACCAGAGGCTAAATAAACAACCAGACACAACCAGACTACAAGCCAACAACACAATACGACACAAACCAATACTACAACCTTAGTTTAACCTCCGAAAGCACAACCAATTGTCAAATATACGCAACACAATTTGGCACAACCAAATAATAAAACAACAAAACCAAAACACAACCCATTTTTGACGAAGAACAACACAATTTTACACAATCAAAACACAATCAGGCACAACAAAACTGGAATACCAAAACACCCAACCAACACTCTCTGAAAACAACACCACTTGTATCTAAACTCCACGATACACCAAAACCCAATTCGGCATAACCTGCTACTCAATATACAACCTATCACAACCAAACATTACAACCAAGCACAATCAATAAGATCATCAACAACGCAACACAACCAATGTCTGAAGAATTAGAACGCAGCTGAACTCACAATTACCAAGAACACAACCAACTGTCAAATTAGCACAACACAATTTGGCACAACCACACAACCAAAGCAAACTATCAAAACACAATCAGGAACAACCAAACTAAAACCCCAACACAGAGAGATCACACAACACAACCGAACACAACCAAATAAACTCACCCGACTAGGCACAACCGACCACCTATCTTAACATAATCGGGCACAACCCGCCACCACCCCTCATTTACCGATCAGGCACAACCAACCACATAACACAATCGGACTCAACCAGATACCTAACCTGACTGGGCACAACCTGCCCCCCGACCAGCATAACAAAATCACAACATAACACAACGCATTTTAAAATTAACATAACACAATAAGGCACAACTCGAAACCAGGCTAAATAAACAACCAGACACAACCCAACTACAAGCCAACAACACAATACGACACAACCCAATACTACAACCTTAGTTTAACCTCCGAAAACACAACCAATTGTCAAATATACGCATCACAATTTGGCACAACCAAATAATAAAACAACAAAACCAAAACACAACCCATTATCGACGAAGAACAACACAATTTTACACAAAACAATCAAAACACAATCAGGCACAACCAAACTGGAACACAAAAACACCCAACCAACACTCTCTGAAAACAACACCAATCACGCAACACAATCTGATACAACCACATACTTCATCCTACTGGGCACAACCCGCTACCGACCAGCACAACACAATTACAACATAACACAACGCATTTTAAAATTAACATAACACAATAAGGCACAACTCGAAACCAGGCTAAATAAACAACCAGACACAACCCAACTACAAGCCAACAACACAATACGACACAACCCAATACTACAACCTTAGTTTAACCTCCGAAAACACAACCAATTGTCAAATATACGCAACACAATTTGGCACAACCAAATAATAAAACAACAAAACCAAAACACAACCCATTATTGACGAAGAACAACACAATTTTACACAAAACAATCAAAACACAATCAGGCACAACCAAACTGGAACACAAAAACACCCAACCAACACTCTCTGAAAACAACACCAATCACGCAACACAATCTGATACAACCACATACTTCATCCTACTGGGCACAACCCGCTACCGACCAGCACAACACAATTACAACATAACACAACCACTTTGAAATTAATATAACTTAATGAGACACAACCCGATACCAAACTTACACAACACAACCAGGCTCAACCAGACAAACAACCACCAAAACACAATCGATTATCAAACTAACACAATGGAACACAACCAAACAACAAACCAACACAATACAACATAGCCAACGAGACCGAATTCAAATCAACCCATTGTTGAATCATTACAACACAACCTGACACCAACCACAGTAACAGAGTCAGTCACAACCCAATACTAAATCAATTAAATTACACTATTAAATACAATCAGGCACAATCTACAAACACAACCAAACTATGATACCAATTTACTTAGCACCCAACTAACTGTCTCCAACTGGAGACAATCCCAAAACAAAACCTAACCCAGCAAAACAACATTCTTTAGAAACCAATAACAATCCCGCGAAACGCGTAACCTGAACAGGAAAAAGTAACCCTCACTATATTCTTAACCTTTTTTCTTTGGCCGCTGATGAGAAACATATCATGGAATACCCCCATGAGTTCGAAACATCTTGGGCCCTTATTATGACCAACATATAAGGGAGAGGATCCGCAACAGGATCGAGATGTCCGGCCGCTCTACATTAATGACAATAGGAGATGTCACCACTAATGGCATCATCCTAGGATCAACTAAATATACTCTACCTGTCACATAAGAACTGACAATGGTTTGGGGAAACTTAGATACTAGACCATATCTCCCAGGTCCAATCAACGAGACCTCTAACCAATTGACACAGATTGCATGACCATGCGTGTCCATAAAAGGTAATGTCTCAAGACATGGTCTAAGCCACCACTCCCAACACTATACACCACACCAACTACTTAATATCTACACAGAACAATTAACCACCAGTATCATGGGAAGGCATCATCTGTGGTCACGTGGTTACATAACAAGACAAAGCCCAGTGCGTATGACAAAACACAGTCTCTCACAAATAATCTAATTAATTAAGGAAATGTGTTCGAAGTTTAAAAAAGGGAGAATAAGAAGGTGAATTCTGTCATAGGCAATAATTTAGTAAACCGTATACACTTATATTATTTTGATAATGCTGCACTGAACAAATAAAAATGAACATTGCCTTTAACTGCATGTCTTCAATATTCAGGTTGTTACATCATTGTATACAATATTGTTGCTTCACGATAAAAGAGACCCTTTTATCCATCATTCGCTTACAATTTAGAATGATAATATTCTCCGGTGCTATTCGAATCGGGGGGGGGGTGCTTTTTGATAGTTTTGTTTAGAAAATCGTGCGAAAAGTGCTCAGAGTGGTGAAAACCTGCGGGAATTTGAAATAATTTCTGGCCAGGGAGGGGGAAACTACCGAACCTCCAGCTTCCCCTGGTTACGGAACTGCCTATTGGTAATTTGTATAGCCCATTATAAATCTCCATTCAGTTAGAGTCATCAATGGTGAAATCTGTGTTGGAGTTAGCTTCATTATCAACCTCAGTTAGAGTCATTCTAAGTGAAGCCGTTTTCTTTCAATTTCTCTAATATCACGGGTGCTTGAGCCTTTATTTGTGGTTGTTTACAATTATATCTTTTTTAGTTTGCATGGCGAAACTTTTGGGATCAAGATTCAGCTTGGTTTGGCTGTAATTGGAGATTTATCGAAAACGAACGAATTTTGTCCACCATCTTGAATGAAGCTAACTGCAGTTAGAGTCATCCAGTTGTGGAACAGTGAGAATGAAACACTGTACCTATCATTTTTCAACACATACACATAAATTAATATAAGGTTTGCCAGGGTTGTACATTTATCTGAGTTTTGTTCTTGATAAAAGTGTTGTTCCTATTGGCAAAATTCAACTTGGTTGCAGGCCCGTAGCCAGGATTTGCCAAGGGGGGTCCACTTTTTGGAGATTCCAGGGGGGTTCACTTTTGACAATTTTGGTCCAAAAACGGCCAAAATCATTTAAAAAGTGCTCCGAATGGTGAAAAACTGCATGACTTTGAAAGAATTTCGAACCCCCCCCCCCCCTGGCTACCGGCCTGGGTTGTATCATTCAAATTTTCTCATGTACCTGACCAGACAAAAAACATAAAGCTGTCATAATTCTGGTTTAATTATGATGACTGGGTGTAACTCGATTCTTTTGTGGTTTTGGAGTGTAATCTGATACAATTTATTACATTTAGAAAATCCATTGCACATCTTTGACTTAATATTGTAGATACTTTATAGTTCAGCAAGTCATGGTTTGATTGTGTATAAGTTTTATAAATTATTACCTTTTAGTCTATTTTGAATATGCAATAAAATGTGTTTCACCTTCCATGATTTAATAACATGGACCCGATGAGTTTTTCATGTTTAATCATGAAAATCAACATTTTTCAAGAGGTATCAAGTTTCTAGTTTGATGTGATGTAGTAATGTTAGGGCACAGAAAATTGTCAAGGAGTTGAATTCTAGATGCAATGAAGGCCTTATATGTGCCACCATATTGCTCCCAAAGAACTTGGACCTACATTCACTTTGGTAATGTTCGTCAATCCAATTTAAAATGTATTTCCAACATTGACTCACTAAACTAAAGTGAACTCTTCAGCAAGTTCAGACTTCCGGAACTTTTGTCACGATGCAAGAGAACTTAGCAGATGAATATTAGAATGGATTGAGATTAATGAAAGAATTGAGATTGATGACCTTTAACTTTGTCAGTTGTCACGTACATGAAAAGCCAAATGAATGTTGAACTGAGAGCCATACAGGATGTGGTAAATGTAGTTATCATCATCAAGTTAGAATTGAAAGTTGGAGTTCTTTTCGTTTGAGAAAGACCATATTTTGAATCCCGGGTTTGAATCAAGCGATCGAGAAAATATGATTAGAGTTTTCCATTCCAGTTCTTCTCGTTTTCCTTTTATCAGTGTTCATGCGATTATTGGCGCAATTATGATGCTTTAGGGTTACCTTCTTCTAAGGCCACTGTATCGTGGCCTTCCAGTACAGATATATTCCTGCATGAACAACTGGTCATGTCGTAATCATAAAATTTGAAATCATATGTCCGCCATTTTTCCACATCACAATTTGAATTGCGAGTTTTGGTCTTATTACCTCACCAAAAATTCCAAAACACACACAAAGTGATCAGTGTATTAGTTCACATCTTCTGGATCGCTAACTTAGAATTTACAGCCAGTTACTAATGTCAGACGTAACGACATTTCGTCCAGTTTTCGAACATCGCCATTTTTCTTGGAGCCATTTTGTTTTAATTTTAGATGAAATCCTGATGAAATCATGTCATATCTCATCAAGGAGCCGAGCTGGGTCCGGTTTGATTAATGATTTATTTATCTGGCGATTTTTAAAATATTCAATAAATTTATGACACCCCGGCAGCTTTTTTCAAATAGAGTTCACAGTATTCCAGATGAATCCCCTCTAGCCAAGTATTGGCTAGAGACTCGAGTAACTTTAGGGCACTTGCTACAGGTTTTCACTGGTAAATATTCACATTTGCTGTTTAGTGTTTTTTTCAAAATTCAAAAATGCTTCCAATTTTGTAGACCTAATAAACTCGATTTAGCTTATCTGTGGATATGAAAAGAGCCATCGAGAATTGGCAACCACAAAAACATAATATCATGATATTGTCAGAAGTATTATCTTATTAATTCGTAATAAGGAAAAAGATATATTACCATTTTTAGCTCAATTATTCCTGGTTGAAGTTCATCACATGATTTGGAGACCCTATCTGTTGCAAGACTAACGCCTGGCGTAACCGTCACCATGTTATTCAGTGTTTTTTAAGTAGCGCAAGGATCCTGCCATGACCGTGGTAATGTTATCGTGAAAGCCTGGTATAACCGCGACAATGCTGTATTATATTAAAATGCCTGCCATGACCGTGGTAGTGTAATCGTGTAAGCATGTCGCGACCGTAACCTTTATATGACATTAATGACCTTTATGTTCGCCCGTTGGTGTTTGTATTTTTTATGGATAAATCTTATTTATTGATCATTATAGAAAGTATATGCTTTCGAATCGAAGCTCCTTGAATGAGAGTAGAGATATAGTTTGTTAGCAAATTATTTATGAGTAAAAATTAGGTTTTCGTTGTGAAATTAATACACATTTTTCGTAGTCTTTATTTACATCTTTAAGGTAGTTAAACACGAAGAAAAATTGTCATTACGGTGTTCTCATGCTACTTTAAATACAACCACGGTCATGAGAGGCCTTGCAACTATTGTCACGGTCATATCAGGCTTTAACCTTACCACGGTCATGACAGGCTTTAACCTTACCACGGTCATGACAGGCTTTAACATTCTGACGGTCATGACAGGCCTTTCAATCATTATTACGGTCATATAATATATACGGCAATATAACATAATATTGTCACGGTCATGGCAGGCTTTACAAGCATTGTCACGGTCATGACAGGCCTTGCAATATAATATAGCATTACCACGGTCACGACAGGCCTTGAAATATAATATAGCATTGTCACGGTCATGACAGGCCTTGCAAGCATTGTCACGGTCATGACAGGCCTTGCAACCATTGTCACGGTCATACGGGGCTTTAACATTACCACGGTCATGACAGGCCTTGCAATATAATATAGCATTAGCACGGTCACGACAGGCCTTGTAATATAATATAGCATTGTCACGGTCATGACAGGCCTTGCAAGCATTGTCACGGTCATGACAGGCCTTGCAAGCATTGTCACGGTCATATCAGGCTTCAGCATTAGCACAGTCTTGACAGGCATTACAACCATATTCATTACAGGCCTTGCAATATAATATAGCATTGTCCCGGTCATGACAGGCCTCGCAACCATTGTCACGGTCATACGGGGCTTTAACATTACCACGGTCATGACAGGCCTTGCAATATAATACAGCGTTGTCACGGTTATACCAGGCTTACAAAATAACACTGCCACGGTCATGGCAGGATCCTTGCGCTACTTAAAAAACACCGAATAACATGGTGACGGTTACACCAGGCGTTAGTCTTGCAATAGATAGCATGTGGAGATTTGTTGGGGCTTTCCTAAAATTACGTCATCAGATAACTTCCGGGTTTTTCTTTTTACTATTTGCTCGTGATTTAGTCCAAGCAATCAGATACTGTGATGCTGACATATAGAACTACACTTCCTCTAGTGAATAGACAATCTCTATAGCAAACAAACCATCACGAATTCCATTATATTGACTTTAAGTGTATAATAATCTGCGCATGCGCCAGTTTTGGAATCCTAACTTCCGGTAAGAAGTTAAAAAAATTTGTGGTCACTTCTTTACTGATTTTCTAAATATGCAGCCACTGGGAATGATCAAGTACTATTATTATCGACATGAAGTAACTATATAACAATCTGATGAATTATACATACACTTTGTGTGTCCTGGGCTGAGTCCTAGGTGTTTTAATTTTTCGAATAATTTTTGAATTTTTTTCTAGGCCTAGACTCATAGACTTACCTTCTTCTAAGGCCACTGTATCGTAGCCTTCCATTAAAGATATATTCCTGCATGAACAACTGATCATGTCGTAATCATAAAATTTGAAATCATATGTCCGCCATTTTTCCACATCACAATTTGAATTGCGAGTTTTGGTCTTATTACCTCACCAAAAATTCCAAAACACTCATAAAGTGATCAGTGTATTAGTTCACATCTTCTGGATCGCTAACTTAGAATTTACAGCCAGTTACTAATGTCAGACGTTAGCGACATTTTGTCCAGTTTTCGAACATCCCCATTTTTCTTGGAGCCATTTTGTTTTAATTTTAGACGAAATCCTGATGAAATCATGTCATATCTCATCAAGGAGCCGAGCAGGTTCTGTTTTAATTAATGATTTACTTATCTGGCGATTTTTAAAATATTCAATAAATTTATGACGCGGCGGCCAGCTTTTTTCATATGGAGTTCACAGTATTCCAGATGAAATCACCTCTAGCCAAGTATTGGCTAGAGACTCGAGTAACTATAGACTAGGCCTACTACAGTAAATTAAACCGACTGTCTCCCGTACCGACAATTGTTGGTACGGGAGACTGCCCAGTGAGTATTTGCTCCTGTACCGACAATTGTCGGTACTTGAGACTGCCCAGTGATTATTTGCTTGGGTACCGACAATTGTCGTCACTCTATCGTCTCCTAGTAGGGCAAGATAGAGGACCGACATTTTCAAAAGAGGTGGCTGGCTGGCTTACTACATGTAATTCTTGATTTCCTGATGTTTTTGCGATTTACACAATACACAGATACTAATATTAAATACATTCTGTTTATGAAATGAATTGTCTCTAATAAAACTGCACTGAACTGTGATATTTGGAAAATATTGAGTGCAACATTGTTTTAGATTATTTTTCTTGTTGGTTGTGTCAATTAAGGTTATTTTCCTGCTAATTATCCAGTCACGACTGCCACCTGTTGTTTTTTTAAAATAAAACCTATAAGAAGTTAAATATGAATATAAACTTACAAACTTTCTTGTCATGAGTTATTGTTGCCTGTTGATTGGTGATATGTAGGGTCGGGTTGTGAAACTGCTCGTGTTTTACATTTACTTTGAATAATAAAATAAATAAAAACACAATTAGAAATAATGTATACCAGTAGATTTTATTCTTCATTTGTTCCATTAATTCATCCACATTACTCAGGAAAATACACAGTTTTAAATTCACGATTTTACATTCAGGCAAATAAAGGTGAAATCACAATGCTTGCGAATTTAGCATGTTTTACAGTATTTAGCAGACCCACAGACTTTTGGTCGGTTCTCTATTAGATCCTATTAGGAGTGGCTTCAGTGTCGACATTTGGTTCTCTAGCGTTTCCTACTAGGAGGGGCTGAAGTGCCGACAATCTATTTGTCGGTCCTCTAGCGTGTCAACACAGCAAAGTCTCCCGTACCGACAATTGTCGGTACTGTAGCCTTTTCGTAAATTAAATGTTTGGAACTACTTTGAATTTAAAAAATAAGAAATCATATGACTATATTGCAACAGTATATGAAAAAATGGAAACATATGTACAAGTCCTAGCTTTTGTATATTTCAGAATCCGATAATTCTGTATAATGTGCAGCTAAGCTGTGACCTTTTGTAATTTAGAGAGTTTCAGCTAGACTATATCCTTTAGTCTGAAATTTTGGTAAATTTTTTTGAAATTTGGAATGAAAATATTCAGACTGATTTCTCAGGATATTCAGTCTATTGGATATAGACTAGAGTTCCAGCCATGTTAAATAACATGGCAGAGAAGCATCAAAATATAAGAGGGCACAGATATGATAGCTTACTACAAAAGAAACTAAAATATACAAAAGGCAGGGATTATATTGACAAATATAAATGCTGTAGGGCTAGGCATCCCATACGGCTGTAGGGAGTGGTTCAAAAGTTTTTGGCCCTTAAGTATTTATTACTCAATATAATCTTAGGTCTATATTACTATTCAAACATAAAAACTCACCAAAATGATCACTTCATGTTGCTACTTCCCACCCCCGGAGAACGGACAAAATGGATGTAGGCGATTTATGCAAGAAAATTCAACAAATCAGGAAAATTCATTTAATAGAAACTTTACAACTGAAGTAGGGTTACTTCCTGCGAAAGCTATTTGGATTTTGATATAATAGCTTTCCCACGGAGCATTTGGACAGCTCAGTGATCGTGACCTTTGAAATCGAATTAAGTAGATCCGCGGCTTACTTTTGGTCTCTAACTGTGTCTTACATCAGTATCATCAATCCGTGTAAGTATTGGAGCGCTGGAGTACTTCTTTTTCGATCAAGACTTGTAATTGTTAGGTCGAGTGAATCGTTTTACTGCCAAATTCCAATATGGCGGTTTCTGCTCGGACATTTTCGTAAATCTCCGGAGGTTGTCCGAACCTAACTAATTCTCAAAATTCATTTCGTTCGTTGCGTATCTCGCACCTAGCAGTCCGCCATATTGGAAATAGGTCTGTAAAACTTTAACTCGATGAACAATTTACAAGTCTTGATCGAAAAAGAAGTACTCCAGCGCTCCAATACTTACACGGATTGATGATACTGATGTAAGACACAGTTAGAGACCAAAAGTAAGCCGCGGATCGACTTAATTCAGTTTCAAAGGTCACTATTGATCAGCTGTTCACTTCTCCGTTTGAGAGCCATAAGTTTCAAAATCTAACATGGCTCTCGAAGTGAGTAAAAGTAGGGATGTTTTTGTGCACCGACACGACCAAAGGGAGTGATTCGGAAGCTTTTGTGCAGTGTCCCTAGCCCTAAAGTATTTATTACTAGATAATATACCTGACCTAAGCTCTATATTATGATTCAAACATAAAAACTCACCAAAAGGATAGGTATCGATATGGTGAACTAAATTCAACAATGTTTTTCTCTTAAACCAATTATTGAAAACATTCTGTAAAAAACATGGTCCATTTTGTAATGTTGACTGATTGGCAACAATTTAATGCAAAAATTATTTATATGTATTTTATATAACTGTTTTTGTTAACATTTTTAGCTCACATGGTGAGCTTTTGCAATCACTCACTTGTCCGTCTGTCCGTCCGTCTGTACGTCCGTCTGTCCGTCAACAATAGTGGCACGTTTTAAAACCTCTGTCGATAGGATTCCTGTTTTAAGTTATTTCTGTTCAACATCAATACAGAAAACCCCCCTATGACTCCTGGTTCAAAAGCTCGCCTATTTTCAAAATGGCCGTCACTTTTGTCTCGCGAAATTCACTTTTAGCCCATTTCCTAGCTAACCTCTGTCGATAGGAATCCTGTTTTAAGTTATTTCTGTTCAACATCAATACAGAAAACCTCCCTATGACTCCTGGTTCAAAAGCTCGCCTATTTTCAAAATGGCCGTCACTTTTGTCTCGCGAAATTCACTTTTGGCCCATTTCCTAGCTTTACAAATAATTTCAGGTGTCCTACATTGTAAAAATCCATGTCAATGTAAAGATTAGATATATGAAATAATTTTGTTACAAAAAATCAGCGAAAAATTGTATCCATTTTTTTATTTTCAGCCATTTTAGTTAACATTGATTTGTCTATCTGACTCGCGAAATCCACTTTCTGTCAATAACAGTAGCACGTTTTAAAACCTCTGTCGATAGGATTCCTGTTTTAAGTTATTTCTGTTCAACATGAATTCAGAAAACTCCCCTATGACTCCTGGTTCAAAAGCTCGCCTATTTTCAAAATGGCCGCCATTTTTGTCTCGCGAAATTCACTTTTGACTCATTTCCTAGCTTTACAAATAATTTCAAGTGTCCTACATTGTTGAAATCCATTACAAAGTAAAGAGTAGATGTATGAAATAATTTTGTTACGAAAAATCAGCGAAAAATTATATCCATTTATTTATTTTCAGCCATTTTAGTTAACATTGATTTGTCCATCTGTCTCACAAAATTCACTTTTGGACCATTTACCTTAAACCCTCTGTCGATAGGATTCCCATTTTAAGTTATTTTTGTTTAACATCAATACAAAAAACTCTCCTATGACTCTTGGTTCAAAAGCTCGGCTATTTTTTCAAAATAGCCGTCACTTTTGTCTCGCGAAATTCACTTTTGACCCATTTCCTAGCTTTACAAATAATTTCAGGTGTCCTACATTGTAAAAATCCATGTCAATGTAAAGGGTAGATATATGAAATAAGTTTGTTACAAAAAATCAGCGAAAAATTGTATCCATTTTTTTATTTTCAGCCATTTTAGTTAACATTGATTTGTCTATCTGACTCGCGAAATCCACTTTCTGTGGCACGTTTTAAAACCTCTGTCGATAGGATTCCTGTTTTAAGTTATTTCTGTTTAACATCAATTCAGAAAACTCCCCTATGACTCCTGGTTCAAAAGCTCGCCTATTTTCAATATGGCCGCCATTTTTGTCTCGCGAAATTCACTTTTGACCCATTTCCTAGCTTTACAAATAATTTCAAGTGTCCTACATTGTAAAAATCCATGTCAATGTAAAGAGTAGATGTATGAAATAATTTTGTTACGAAAAATCAGCGAAAAATTATATCAATTTATTTATTTTCAGCCATTTTAGTTAACATTGATTTGTCCATCTGTCTCGCAAAATCCACTTTTGGACCATTTACCTTAAACCCTCTGTCGATAGGATTCCCATTTTAAGTTAATTTTGTTCAACATCAATACAAAAAACTCTCCTATGACTCTTGGTTCAAAAGCTCGCCTATTTTCAAAATGGTTGCCATTCTTGTTTCGCGAAATTCACTTTTTGCCCATTTCCTAGTTTTGCATTTTAGCTTTAATTTCAGCTGTCCTGCATTGTAAAAAGCCATGTCACTGTTAAAGGTAGTTGTATGAAATAATTTTGTTACAAAAAATCAGCAAAATATTATATCCGTTTTTTTTATTTTCAGCCATTTTAGTTAACATTGATTTGTCCATCTGTCTCGCGAAATCCTCTTTTGGACCATTTGCTCAAAACCTCTGTCGATAGGATTCCAGTTTCAAGTTATTTTTGTTCAACATCAATACAAAAAACTCCCTTATGACTCCTGGTTCAAAAGCTTGCCTGATTTCAAAATGGTCGCCATTTTTGTCTTGCGAAATTCAATTTTGGCCCATTTCCTAGCTTTACAAATAATTTCAGGTGTCTTGCATTGCAAAAAGCCATGTCACTGTAAAGAGTAGTTGTATGAAATAATTTGTTACAAATTATTGGCAAAAAATTATATCCGTTTTTTTTTCAGCCATTTTAATTGACTGAGAGACAGATGGCTTGAAATAATTTTGTAACAAAAATTCAGCAAAAAATTATATCCGTTTTTTTCTGTCACCATGTGAGCCCAGTACCCATGGTACTAATTTTTTGTTTTTAGTGCAATTGTTTTTTGTTCCTTTCTACCAATTCTTGAGAATGAAATATAATGTCTTTCAGAACCTCGTTGGTACAACATTTTCTTAGACCTCTCAATATTACAGTTATACAAAGGAAATTTTGGTTGATTTAACAAAAAGTATGCAAAAACTTAAAAGAAACCCCCCAAAATAGATAAAAATTAAGATAAACCTTTTATTTCATTAACAAGATACTTTTTTGAAATCAACCAAACTTTCCTTTGTACAATTACAATATTGAGAGACCTAAACACATTGTGTTTATGTCGTTTTGTTCAAATGAGGTTCGGATAGATGTTTCATTTCATCCCGAACATATCACGGGATACTAGAGTATCCGCGTATATTGAGTATGACCGGTTCTAAGCTTACGAGTGTGACCGTATTTCTGTTCCTATAAACAGACGAGGTGAGTACTTGCTTTTTATGAACACTTTCGAACGTTTTCTTTTTATCCTACTTGGTCAATGAATGATACTTGGTATACTTATAATGCCAGGCATATCACAAGGGGCCTTAATCAAGAGAAAACGTATTAATATTAGATTGAAGCCGTAAAATCCTAGTTTCCAGCATCTTTGATCAGTTTTTGTGTAACACAACGCAACTCCGAAGAGGATGACACATCTTATGTATAATATATAGCTAGATCTACGAATTAGTCATGAATATTTTAAATAATTTAGCCTGCTCTGTCCAAATATGATACATCTTTGAATTTTTGAGAATACGAATGTCACTGGTGCCCCATTATTGGAGAATACGATTGTGAAACAATCAGTGGGCCGTGTTACACTCGTTTCCATGACGTTTCACAAGCGTATCCTCTGGGAAAAGATAAATCCTTCTCTTGCTCACTCTACGGGGGATCATATAAACTGAGATTTGGAGATCTTGTTCAGGTTAGCCATAAAAAGGTTTGGGATTTGTTTTTTTCTACTGTGATATTAATGATTTGGCTCTAAGGCGAGAAATCTGTACTTTCTGATTGATATTCCATTATGAACAGTTACATTGCTAAAATAGCTCATGTTTAACATTTTTTTGTTACATTACTATTAAATACAGCATAAACTATATTCAACAAACACAATTTCAAAAAGGATAATATAGAAGTTAACCTTTATTTTCCATTTTCAAGCAGCTGTGCCTCTCATGACTTTCCAAAACAGGTCATATTCGTAGCCTAAGAACCGGTCATACTCAATATACGCGGATACTCTAGTTACCCGTGCATATGATACCAAGAACAAAAGAAGTGTTTGATGTGTTTTCTAAAACAATATAAAGAAAAGGACATATATATTTCAAATATAATGTTACCATCCAAAAGATGACCATTAAATTGACGATGTGAAAAATTTTCAGAATGTTTTGATAACTGGTTTAAGAGAAACGCGTGTTCAAAAATTTCACCATATCAGTACCACTCCTTTGGCAAAATTGTCACTTCATTTTGCTACTTCCCTGGTGATCGGACAAAATGGATGGGGGGGAGTAGGCGATTTATTTTTTCAAGAGAGTTCATTTCTCAAATTCACAAATTGATATACATTTGATACATTGATTAACAGTGTTTCTGACAAAGTCCTCATTATGTCCACAGTGGTGCTATAAATATCATGAATTATTATATAACTTGTAAATTATATAACTTTCGGGATTTTTAGAAACTATGAAGTTGCGATCAGGAACTTCTAAAGGAGAAGGAAATGGTGATGTTGATGCATCTAGTGGGATGGACCCTGGGATGGATTCCAGAGTAATCACAATATTTGGGAAAAAGTTTAACTTCGTTATTCTTGTGACCCACTTCAACATTTTCCTGTATGCTGCCTGCTTTTGGATCCAAACGGGAACTCTGCCAGTGAGTAATTTTGAATTATTGGAACTGGAATTATTGAGATTTGTGCTTGGCTTACTTGCTTTTGAATGGTCTCATCGTATTACCAACTTCCCTCTGATATGTCTACTTAATTCTAAAACCATTTCTTCTTTGTTCACAAAGCCCAGTTGTAATGAGTAATGTCACCACCAAAAAGTGGTGACATATTGTTATGGTCTCTATTTTTTGAGGGCAGTTGGTGGTTGGTGATTGACTTTATATTCAAGATTTGGCCTTCAATGACCAAAAAATGGTCAAAAAAAGGTTAAAAAGGTATTTTTTTCAACTTGACCAATTTTTTTTCAAAATCAGCCACAAAGAAGTTCAAATCTGACTATAGATTTGACCTTCAATGACATTCTCAAGGTCAAAAATGATTTGACCATCAATGACCTTCACAAGGCCAAAAAGGCCTTTTTCATCTTGCTTCAAATCGACCAATTTATTTTTTCAAAATCATCTACAAGTTCTCAGAAATCCAAATCTGACTGAAGATTGAATAATATTGTGAGCAAGTAGGTGGTGACATTTTGTCATGTTAATGCCTTGTTATTAAGTGTTGTAAATAAGAATTGTAATATTTTCATTATCCTTTCCAGTACTTGACTAAGAAGCTGGGTGTAGATGCAGTTATCTATGGTTACCTCCAAACAACTTTTGCTGTTGTTCAATTATGTGGAGGGCCTCTGTATGGCAGATTTGGGGACTTATTTGGAGGTCAAGCTGCCCTAGTTTTAGCATTTGGAGCTGCAGCGATATCTTATGCCATACTTGGTGTCTCATACAGCATTCCAGTTCTGTTTCTTTCCAGACTACCTTCAGTCTTCATGCATGCTATGCAAGGTATGGTTCAGCAAATGTTTGTTAGATATATACTAGATTCAATATAAAATATTTTTTATGTCAAACTTTTATGTGAAATTACTATGAAATATGATTAATCCACTCATTTGATTTTCATGAATTCTTAAACTTCTCGTATGTTTCACGAGGAATTAATATTCACTAATGAGATCAGCAATGTCTTAAAGAATTTACCAGTATGCAATCTGCAAAATTTCACTTCTTTTTACTTCTAAGGTATTTTTTATGAATTAAAATTACATGATTGAGAAAACTTCTTTCATCAAATAATCTACTTATCATTTTGCAGGTGGCCAGATGGTAGTAACAGACATGGCAGATTCTAAAAATAGAGCTGATGCCCTTGGGAAATTGGGTTTATCTTATGGTATTGGCATGGTTGTTGGACCATTTATTGGTGGCTTGGTGACCAAATATTCCAGGTAACTGAAACAGGCTTCAGCACCGGTTCTGTCAATATGTCTCTCACTCCCCGGAAATTGTCCCATATGGTGTAATCCATTTTGATACAAGCAGGGCTTTGTGGAGGCCATACATCTGTCTTGGTGTAATCTGGGGTAGCCTCCTGATGGGCCTGGGTTACCCTACATGGACTAATTTGTGAACCTACTTGTAGCCAACTTGTTGATGGTATTTCTAGGGTACTTAGTATAAATTTTCAATGAATTCGGCTCATCTATAATAACTGAAAAATGATTGTCAAAAAGTGGTTTACTTTTTTTTTGGAACACCAAATATAATACCTGTATTTCCCAGGATTGAATAAACAAGAAACATGTTTGAATCTTTATTTCTAAGTTTTAAGTGAAAAATTATTTCAGTTATAATTATTTATACTTCCTTATTTTAACATGCAAGAATACTGAATGATAGAATGAACTAGTTTGTTATAATGAACAACAATCAATGTACTTTATTTTGAGTGAAAGGAGTCAAACTGCTTTACTTTTGTTAGGGAACCATTGATTTTTAAAAATAAAGCAACTTTTAATTTACATTTTGGTTGGATGGAGGTGGTCAATGTAAAATCAATAACACTCCGAGACAACATTGAAACGTTGACCTAAACATGCATTACTTTTACATTTATTACATTTAATTACAGTGAACAAACTGCAGCTTTAGTCGCAGCAGCAGGATCAGTGCTCAGTATTCTTATCGTGCTTATTTTTATCCCTAAACAAACAAAGATGGCACATGTTGAAGTAAAAGGTAAGCTCATTACAGGGTGGCCCTCAATATCTCTCAGTTAGCCTACTCATTCATCTTACTACTACTAATGTTATTTATATTTGATGTTGATAAGGTCTTAATGATCACAAATGTTGATTTCTTTTATGATAGATTGAAGGTCAGCTACTTATGCTAGGTCAAAGTGTTATTGAATGGTTGTAGATGAGGTTGAGATTTTGTGAAATTGGTGGGTCAATACTGTGATTTTCTGAAGTGCTAGGCTTATGTGGAGACTATGAATATTGTTGATCAAACAAAAATGGTTTGACTTAAAGTCTAACATTTTAGAAAGTTAGCAAACCACAATGTAATGTTCATGAACATAAATATATGAAAAATAAAGTCAATTAAATCATATGATTTAATTTATTTGAATGATTGCAGAGCACAAAATTATTTCATTTATAGAATTTATTTTGCCTGACAATGTTCCATTCATGTATACATCTTATATGTTAATTCCTTTGTACATGTACATGTATTTAATGCCTCCAGATGGGAATGAAGCAAATGGTAAAATTACTTTAACTACATTTTTTATATAACAGGAAACTCAGTATAAATGAAATGAATGTAGCTAAATATGTAAATTGTAATGGTTGGTTGGGTGTGGATCTCCTATTATACAATATTAATATCTAAAAATCTCAAATTTTATCAGAGCTATCTAAGCCTTTGAGTATGCCATGTCAAATAGAATTATCTTTGACTAAAAGTTAAACTTTGTGTTTATTTTTAGCATCAGAGAAGTCTGCCAGCAGTATATTCAGTATAAAGAAGATTATGAGCCTCTTGGCACAGCCTGGTGCTTTAGTTCTACTGACAGTGAAAGCTGTATCAGGTATTCATCTTATACTGCAACACAGGCATTTAAATTGTATTATGATAGCGTAATGTAATTATTTGCAGTGTAGTTAATAAGAAAATTAATTTTTTCATACTTCATGCATTGACATCTTCAAGGTCAAAAAAGTACATGTAATGTATATTTATCTTTTTATTTTGCGATTCAACTGCTCTATGCCTTGCAACACCCTCACTACGACACCTATTACATATGTTGCCATTGGAATAGTTTTATTCAAAAAGGTTTAAAATCCTTTTTGGCTCACACAGTGAGCCTATGGGATCGACCAGGCGTCCGTCCGAAGAAACCAAGGCAGCAACAACAAATGACGTCCGTTGGTCCGTCCATCCTTTGGTCCGTCCGTCCGTCCTTTTGGCTCACACAGTGAGCCTATGGGATCTGTGAATACTAGACACTTTGTTGAAGTAGAACTTTCAAATAACTTGCAGTAGTTGCTGTATATGCAACTTATGTCCTCTGAAGATTTCAAAGCTCTTGGAATTACAGTTTTTGGTGTTTACTCCATAAAATTTGACAAAAAGTAGGACTTAGTCATTTTCAGGAAACTTATGTATAAAGTCAATGGCAGGTTTTGTGATTGACAAGTTTCTCAAAGTTTGCCTTATACTTGATCATTTCTTGCAATGAATTACATCATAACTAGATTTAAGCATTCCCTACATATTCCTCAATATATGTCGGAATCAAATTTTTGCTGTTTTTGAGATATTTGACGTAAAAAAAACAGTAAAAATAAGTTATTTTTCAACTTGCTTCAATTTGACCAATTTTTTTTTTGAAAATCATCTACAAATTACCAGGAGTTCAAATCTGACATTAGATTTAGGATTTGACCTTTACTTGACCTTCAGTGACCTTTGAAAGGTCAAAAAAGTTGATTTTTCAAATTGAATTTTGGATGTAAATTTTGGTCAGCTTAATCACAAAAGACCTTACTGAGCTCTGATTAAGTAAAATTTTCAAGGTCAAAGGTCATCAAACTAGGTCACACAACTGTGCTGTCTAAGTTTCTCAAAGTTCGAAAATACAAATCCAAATCAATATTTTTGTTTGAAAGTTTTTGTCTGAAGGTACCAAACTGTGTGAGCACAGGACCGTGGGTCCTATTTTTATCCTGAGAAAACTTCATAGAAATTTTCAGCCTGAGATGACATCAAGAATTCAGAAAATATACCCCCGTTCTTGAAGTCGCTGTAGTAAAAGAGGGAAGTGTTCATTGAAAAGGTTTCTGGATTTTTCTCCAGTGCCATGTTCAGTAAAAATCAACAATACCAAAGTTTGCATACAATGTGAAAACTACACAGCATGATTTTAAAATAATATTAAGGGTCATATGGGGAAGGATCTTGATTTCCCTGAGGAATATATTATGCCTCCTTTAGAGCCGTTACACCTCAGATTTTGGGGTAGAATCATAAATCCATGCACGTTAAGATATTAGATCTCATCATCCTTATAGCTAACTTATAGGCAGTTATAGTAAGAACCGTGACATCCAGTTTGGTGACTAATTTTATCCAAAACCTTAGTTAATCAATTGATTGATATCTTGGTTTTGAAAAACCTGATATTTATGAGACAAGTGAGTTGTCATGTTTAACCTCTTATTTATATTTTAGAGACATTTATATTTTATGGCGAATATTGTGATAGCCCACCCCCCTCCTTTAGGTGGATATCTAAAATAAGACACACCCTTTGACTCTCAATATATTATATTACAGGTGTTCCAATTGGAATATTCCAGAGCATGTTTGCTATTCTTGCAATGGAGAAGTTTGGACTTGCACCAGAACAAAATGGCTTTATGATGTCATATGTGGGAGTAATAACTATGGTAAATTTTAGTAATACATAATTTTCAAGGTGCCAGTAGTTAGTTCAGTTCCACCATCAGGTTGCTAATTCGGGTTGATCCTGTAGTTATTCGTATATCAATATAGGCCATCAGCCTGGGGGGTTGGTCGGTATCAAATTAGGGGAATAATCGCCTTAGTGATTTTTGGGAAGATTAAGACCTCAAAAGTAAGAAAATATGTGATAGCATTGTAACAGTTGTAGCTAAATGGGTGTTATCACCCATTTTTCAAAATGGCCGCTGGTGGACGTGTCACAATATAAGAGTGGGTTTATCTAAGCACACTGAGATGCAAAAACTGTGATTTTAGGACCTATGTCAAGGTTTTAGGGGTCAAGGATTTCATTTATGTTTAAAGCTAAGTCATCAAACAATTGTTTCTTATAGAAATCCAAGATGGCTGCCAAAATGGGTGCAAAAACGAATATGTAACTACTGTTAATGCTCAAGAAACACTTAAGAACAGTGATTTTGGACCCCGTGTCTACATTTAGGGGTCAAGGATTTGATTTATGCCTAAATCTGACTCATCAAATAATTACTTTACATAGAAATCCAAGATGGCCACCAAAATGGATGCCAAATCAAATATGTAACTATTGATTTAAGCTCAAAGAACAGTTAAGAACAATGATTTTGGAGACCATATATGGGTTTTAAGGGTCTAAATCTAAGTAATCAAACTATTACTTTAAATAAAAATTCCAAGATGGACACCAAAATGGGTGCCAAAATGAATATTTAACTATTGATTTAAGCTCAGAGAACAGTTAAGAACAGTGATTTTGGACCACATGTCTGCGTTGAGAACAGTGATTTTTGAGACAATGTCTGGTTTAAAGGGTCAAGGATTAGACTTATGTCTAAATCTAAGTCATCAAACAATTACTTTATATAGAAATCCAAGATGGCCACCAAAATGGGTGCCAAAATGAATATTTAACTGATTGATTTAAGCTCAAAGAACAGTTGAGAACAGTGATTTTTGAGACAATGTCTGGTTTAAAGGGTCAAGGATTAGACTTATGTCTAAATCTAAGTCATCAAACAATTACTTTATATAGAAATCCAAGATGGCCATCAAAATGGGTGCCAAAATGAATATTTAATTGATTGATTTAAGGTCAAAGAACAGTTCAGAACAGTGATTTTTGAGACAAAGTCTAGGTTTAAACAGTCAAGGATTAAACTTATGTCTAAATCTAAGTCATCAAACAATTACTTTATGCAGAAATCCAAGATGGCCATCAAAATGGGGGCCAAAATGAATATTTAACTATTGATTTTAGCTAAAAGAACAGTTAAGAACAGTGATTTTGGAGACAATGACTAGGTTTTAGGGGTTTCAACGGTGTCTAAATCTGAGTCATCAAACAATTGCTTTTCATAGAAATCCAAGATGGTCACCAAAATAGGTGCCAATAACAAGTAAATGTTGTTTAAGCTCAAAGAACAGTTTATAACAGTAATTTGAGACCATGTCAAAATTTTTGGTGTCAAGAATTTCAGTCATGTCTACAACTATAATTAATTCCTTTATTTGGATTCAAGATGGCTTCCAACATTGCTGCCAAAGTGAAAATAAGATTAATTATCTAAACATATAGAGGAGTTAGAACATAAATTTTTGATTAATTTTGTCTTTATTAAAATCAACAAACATTTTATTTATATGGGTATCCAAGATGGCCTCCAAAATGTCTGCCAAAATGAATTCATATAACTATCCATTTAACCACATAGATCAGCAAGAACAATAATTTTGGAAGCAATGTTTTACTTTAAGGAGGTCATGATCATCTAGAGCTATGCCATGTAACAATCTGTGATTAATATCAGAATTTAAGATGGATGCCAAAGTGATAATATTATGCAGCCATTTTGGTGGCCATCTTGGATATCAAAATAAAGGAATTATTTTATGACTTAATTATAGACAAAATTCTTGGCCTCTTAAACCTGGACACGAGCTTAAATCAATAGTTACATATTCATTTCAGCACCCATTTTGGTGGCCATCTTGGATTTCTATAAAAAGTAGTTATTTGATTACTTAGATTTAGACATTAATGAAATCTTTAGCCCCTACAAAATAGACAGAGTATCTAAAATTACTGTTCTTAACTGTTATTTCAGCTTAAATCAATATGCGTAGTTACATATTCATTTTGGCATCCATTTTGGTGGCCATCTTGGATTTCTATAAAAAGTAATTGTTTGATGACTTAGATTTAGACATAAGTCTAATCCTTGACCGTTTAAACCTAGACATTGTCTCAAAAATCACTGTTCTCAACTGTTCTTTGAGCTTAAATCAATCAATTAAATATTCATTTTGGCAACCATTTTGGTGGCCATCTTGGATTTCTATATAAAGTAATTGTTTGATGACTCAGATTTAGACATACGTCAAATCCTTGACCCTTAAAACTAAGACATGATCTCTGAAATCACTGTATGTTCTTTGAGCTTAAATCAATAGTTACAGTGCATATTCGTTTTGGCACCCATTCTGGCGGCCATCTTGTATTCTATGAAAAGGTAATTATTTATCAATGATTACATACCGGTATTCGTTTTGGGACCCATTTTGGTGGCCATCTTGGATTTCTATAAGAAGTAATTGCTTGATGACTTAGATTTCAGCATAAATGAAATCATTGACCCCTAAAACCCAAACTTAGGCCCTAAAATCACAGTTTCTGCATCTCAGTATACTTAGATATACCCACTCTTATATTATAACACGTGCACCGGCGGCCATTTTGAAAAATGGGTGATAACACCCTTTTAGCTACAACTGTTGCAATGCTATCACATATTTTCTTACTCTAGAGGTCTTAACCTTCACAAAAATCACTATGGCGATTATTCCCCTGATTTGATACCGATAACCTAAATTTTGGGGTGAAGCTGATGGCCTAATAAGGGTTTGTGGCTTCTTTTTGTTGGACAATCATATCAGAAGCCACATTTCATCAAAATCTGGAGGTAAACAAATAAGCAATCAAAGCTTTTTCCTCATAACTGTTATGCTGTACATGTATTTAAAAATACATTTGTTTTTTAAACAGACTGCCCACTCTTTATGAGATTACCATAGCAATTACTTTGACAACAAATTCTATTATTGTGTTTTTGCTGGTTTGGTGAGGAATGATATTGGCACATTTAATCAAATATCATATTTGGGAAAATATACCCAAAATGGCAGAAAAGTCCTAGATTCTTATCTGACCTCCCTGTAGGTACCTTCATGAACTATGAAGTGAATTCCTCAACCTCCTGACCTCTCGAAGAGTGAAAATAAAATGCAGACTTTTACTTAACTATATTTTTTACAGATTATGCAAGGATTTGGACTTGGCATTTTAACTAAGAGATTTAAAGAGATGTCGCTCATCACCTTATCATCTTTTGTGCTTGTGTGGGCCTACCTGTTATTGGTAATCAATATTTTCTAGTAGCATTGTTCTTGTCTCACCTAGATTCATAATTTTTTAAAACAATTATTGTAAATTTTTTATGAATATTGAGATATTTTATTTTAGTATACCGGTATTTATTTTAAACAATAGATCACTTAATATCTGCATAGTTGAAATACATTTAGGATAACATAGGCGTAGCCCCCCCCCCCCATAACCAATGAAAATAGAACCATTAGAAGAAAAGAGTTTTAAAATGCTTTTTATTTGAAGCTTCTAGCTCAATTTTGAAGGAAGTTATATCAAATTTTGCAGAATTCAAAACAAATCTTAAAAAAACTTTTTTGGCTTGCTTATGCCACGATTGCAGCCCCCCCCCCAAATTAAAACTGGAAAAAAATTGGTGATCGCACCCCCCCTGATTGAAAGCTGGCTACGCCGATGGGATAATGTGCTACATATAACGATGCAAGCCTATTAATTTTGCAGGCATTTGTGCAAGATGTCACTCAGCTGTGTCTTGTCATGTTTCCATTGTGCTTCGGTCTTACAATCAAAAATGTGATCATAAGCAGTGCTCTAACCCATACAGTCCCCGATGAAGATACAGGTATGTATAAACCTTACAGACTCTGGTCACTCCCTAGTCACCCTTCAAATTGAATATGATAATTATCCCAACAAACTATGTTCAGTAGAGATATAGAGAAGCTGTCCGTTAAAATTGTTTGGTTCAAGGGATAATGAAGCTCTGCTCAAGATGATGTTTTCAAGATTTCCACTGAATTCCAAAATGGCCACCATTTTTCATAGAAAACATAGTTTTTGGTAACTCAAATACAAGTGGACAATTTCTGTTCTTTTATATGCTGATGCATGGAGACAAAGAAGCTGTGTTCAAGAAGAAATTTTCAAGATGACCACTATTTATCAAAACATGTTTTGTTCGTTGGGATTTGCTACTCTGTGGAGTTGCTGTTTTCTAGTTTATTGTATTTTTACTTCGTTAAATACAAATTTTGTGAATTTCAAATGTTGAACTTTTCAACACCTTATAACATAATTTTTATCTCACTCTTTGGTGTGAACAGGTATCCCAATTAATTTTGATTCCCAAGATGGCTGCTGAATTTAAATTGGTTGCCAAATTTCAAAGAGAAATAGTTTTTATGATAACACAAATACCGGTATTGCGCTTTGGTCAAAGGTTCATATGCTAATGAATTTATAATATGAAACCATGTCATATCATGGGTGTAAATTTTGCCAAAAGGAGACAATATTACTATCCTTATTCTTCTGGCTGGTTATTTCTGTCATGTTATGTTCAAATTGACATGTAATATGATAAAATGTTTTGTTCAGTGGGACAAGCTACCCTGGGGAGTTGCTGTTTTTCTAGCTATAATATTGCCAAACTTTGGTTTATTAATCCTAGAACTTGATATGCTAATCAAGGGTGTGATACTAGTATTGTTCTGCCTGTGCCTTATTTTAATAAATTGCTGCATGATCATTTTAAACATCTCTGAAAATAAACTTGAAACATTTGCTGAGAATTATGAAAAAAGGGTTGCAGATTTGTCAAGCAGATGTAGCCCAGAGATTGTGGGTTTGAGTCCTTTGTGCTCTTTGTATTTAAAAATTCAGAAAAAATAATTTTTTGCTTCCAGGTGCCATGCTAGGTCTGAATATGGCAGTGAACTCATTAATCCGTACAGTTTCGCCAACAGTAGGAGGCATAATGCTTAACACATGGGGTTACCCATCTTTTGGATATGTAGGATTTGTCGCGAGCTCTCTAGTCTTCATATATCTATATTTTATACGAAAAGAACCTAAAGACAGCAATATACATGTATCGCATACAACTTAATGATTCCAAATTGTATAATACAGGGTGTCCCGAAAGTATGGGGCCCCCCCTAGGCAGACATATTCCAGTGTCCTCATAGTATGTATCATATATCATTTTAAAGCTTATCCAAAGTTACATTGATTTGCCAAGTATCATGGTTTAACTCCCAACTGGGAAAAAGTTACAGTCATTTTAAAAGTTAGTGTTTTGTCAAAATAAAGTTCAATTTTACTCCACATCACTAGTCAATGAGGCCCCCCTTGGCCATGTTAACAGCAGCAATTATTTTCAGATATGACTTTAAAAGCCCTTCAAATAGGGGTGGGGAATTTTATAACCCTCTTAAAACCTGTTATGGCACTTTAGAAGAGTTTCCTTAGAGTTTCTACCCTCACCGTTCTCTTTTTCCAACTCAATATCCATCTGACCCGAAAAGAATTGCTGCTGTTACAATGGCCCTGAAGGACACATTAACTAGTGATTTGGTGTAAAATTGAACTTAATTTTGACCAAACACTAAATTTTGAAATGCCTGTCATTTTTTCACATTTGAAAGTTGAATCATGATACTTGGTGAATCAATATAACTTTGGATGAGCTTTAAAATGACATATGACACATACTATGACGACACTGGTATATGTCTGCCTAGGGGGGGCCCCATACTTTCGGGACACCCTGTACATTGTACACAGGGTGCATCATCATGACAATATATACAGATTTTGAACAAAGGCTGTTTTTTATTAATTCTGGTGAAAAAGAAGTTGGGAGGTTTTTCTGTTGACTTTCTGACGCTTGATAATGATACATGGATCATTACAGTGTACACTGTACTAAACCTGACTAAACCACAAGTAAACAATCTACTGTCATCAATTTTCATTTTTCAGTGGGAGAAAAAAAGTCATCACTTCTTGTAAATCAGAATTTTGGGAAAAAGTCAGTCTTAGAATTAAACGCCTTTGATTTTAAAATGCAGTTTAATTTAACAAAACATTCTATACAATACTATCTCCTACTGTGCAGTTATTACTATTGTTATTAATATCATTGTATTTATATTTACAATGTTTAATTCATAATTTTGAGATTACCTCTCATTGAGGGAGCTTTTTATTACTATCCGATACTTATAGACATTGACATTTAAGCTGATAAACGCACACCATAGGCTTTTATTGGAGTCAAGTATTCCTACGTTCATATATATATGTACATGTAATTAATTAATCTCATACAGGTATTGAACTTGAACTCGAAGACCTCTTTCATGAGTGATTTGTAAATGAGAGATTTTAGTTTGTTGGTAGCTTCGGCCAAGTCGGTATTTTTTACTTATGATATCTGATCTTGAATTATTACCGCGGTCATAATAGAAATCAAGATAAGTAAAAGAGACCGACTTGGGCAAGGCTAGTTTATCGGGTAATTTCTACAATACATAATGATTTTTTATGTTAAACCTTATATTCATAGATTTTATATTACATTATGTGATAGAACAACATAGAATAAACATGGTTTTACTTAGGTTATATATACTGTATGAACATATTTATGTACAATACTTGATAACTGTTTCAATGTACTGAGGTATTCACATATAATACACAGGTTTCATTCATTTATTCTTCACTCCAAAGGCATGGTATTCCAAGTTTTAACCATCTTCTCTAAGTAAGCAAGAACTTATTCTGGATCATGTAGCCCTGCATTTGGAGGTTTTGCAGGACATTATTTACATACATGTACATGTTACGTTGAATGGTTAAAACACAGATCATGACATTAGAGAGATTTGGCATTGACAACTCCCTCATATGTCAGGTTTATAAATACAGAATATCAGATCATTTTGAGTGATATCATTCAATAAATTGATATAAGATATCAACACGAGTGAGAAATGATCTGATATAACAAAAATGATCTGAAATTGGATTTCCTTTAGAAAAAATGTCTGAAAAAATTCACACAGATCTCTTTTAAATCAGAAATATCACTAGCTATTGTTGTACAGATACAATGATCGTGGTATAAAATGTCCTTAGTAAATGAAAATAAAGTACCGTGATACTTGACCTAAGTTTTATCAGCATCCACTCTCCAATATGTATATTGCAAAATAACTTAAGTTCACATGCAAAGATTTAGGTAATTTCAATCAAAACTCCACCAAGCTAGTTAAATAGAATAGAAGGCAAAATCTATGTTATATGGATCATTATGGTCTCATTATTAACTAAAAGAGTAAAATCTATTTTAATAATTATGTTTTCCTAATTCCAAAATCCCTCATTAACAAAGTTGGGAGGTTGGTTTAACAGGTAATGAAATGGATTGCATTTAAAACTTAAAGGGGCAACAAGCATTCTGATACTCAGACCATCTCTGCTATGCACAAGAATGAAACAAGGAAACTGAGAGAAGGCTGTGATATCTCATGATGGGCAACAAGGACTGTAGAGAGAAAATTAGAAAATGTTTATTTTTTCTGAGCTATCAGGTGTAAATTTGACTTAACATCTTCTTTGACTTACCTATTTTCTAAAAATGTATGGATAAACTATCAATTTCAGCATTAAGAAGTGTAAATTCAGTTCAAAGCTTCTATAAAGGGAGTCCCACTTAATATAGAGTTTTAAGATCCACAAAGTTTCAAGAGGAATATCATCTGAAATAATGTTCATCCAGGGGGTTTCTTTGAGGATAATGAAAATATATGTTAGTCTTGATGAAATATACAAACTTTAGTATATTTTGACACTGGTTGATGATCCATTGAATGGCCCCTCTGCATTAATTGTTGCACCTTTAATGCAAATGTTTGAAATGCCCCCTGACAGTACTTAGTGTGCTAAGTGATAAAGGCTGTGATCCCATTCTTATTTAACACTTCTGTACCAGGGGTGGTCTTGGAAATCAAGAGGCACTTTAGGTCTAGTAACCAAATATTAGGGAAAGGATTTCAGTTACAATATTTACAATTGCAAAGTAATTATTTACATCCGGGAGGAAACGTATAATGGTCCATATAGTTTTGTTAAGCTCATATTGATATTGTTCTCTGAATCTTCAAGCTTTGTAAACTTAAAGGTGCAATAATTAGTGCAGAGGGGTCATTCAATGATCATGGACCAGTGTCAAAATATATTTAAGTTTGGATATTTCATCAAGACTAACATCTATTTTTATTATCTACAAAGAAACCCCCTAGATAAACATTATTTTAGCTTATATTCCTCTTGAAACATGGTGGATCTTAAAAATATAAAAGTGGAAGTCCCCTTTTTGAAGCTTTGAGCTGAATTTACACTTCTTAATGCTGAAATTGATAATTTATCCATACATTTTAAGAAAATAGGTATGTCAAAGAAGATGTTAAACCAAATGTTGCCTTGATAGCTCAGAAAAAATGAAAAAACTTTCCTATTTTCTCTACAGTCCTTATTGCCCCTTTAAGTTACTCTTGACCCCCTGAAGGTTTAAAAATATAACCACATGGCACAAAGAATTGTTCAATATTGTAAACAATCACATTACCTAATGTCATATTTGCCTAGGGGTTTAATTGGCAAATTCCACAATGATTAATTTTCGCGAATTGCACAAAAAGTTCCAGGAGTCCATTAAATGTTCAAATAAACTTTTGGGAGGGCGAGTATTCAGAAATAATGTTTTGGCATATATTGACCTGATCCCTAAGCAGAGACATATTTGATGGATTACATTTCAAAACATACACTAGAATGCCAAGCTCACATCCAAATTGAGAACTGTATCAGTTTAAGTACATAGAGCATTGTTTTGTAAGTTCTTCTAATTGAAAAATGTATAATGAAACTATGTTGTCTCAATTCCAGTGGATTTTTACATGATGGGTCAGATTCTTCTAATCTAAAAATGTGAAATGAAACTATAATGTCTCAGGTTATATTTATTATTACTTGATGGATAAAACTGTTTTAAATGAAAATTTTCACTATTGTCTTAATTTGTCTTTAACAATGAAATTAACATATGGCCATTAGTCTCATTTCATTTAGTTGAGTAAAGTTCAAATTAATTCTGATATGGCTGAACATGTTTATACATATTTAGTTGATATTAAGTTTATGTTGTTATCTGTATACATATCACATATGTTTGATCTTTCATGATGACCATGCTCTCAGGCATCTTCATCATCATCAAGTTTAGGTAAGTTGGAGGCTTTCTAGCTGCCTATGTTCTTCCATCTGTTCTATTTATTTTAGGGGTTAAATTTCCCCTTCTAAACCCATAACTTGATATTTTGTAAGGGAGAAACATTTCCCTGTATTAATCTGACAGGAACTGGTATCCTTAGTCTAATAGGACCGTAGTGTTTGAGCGAACTCCCCCCCCCCAATTTTTGGACCAAAATTGGCAAAAGTGAACCCCCTGGAATTTTTCAAAAAGTGAACTCCCCTTGGCAAATCCTGGCTATGGGCTTGGGCAGTTCTGCTAGCCAGTGTCAGTCTTTTAACAAGTCAGCAGCACTCCATCTGGTAATCACCTCTCTGGTATTCTAGATAATTAGTCAAATCTCTATGTCAGAGCCTGGTTTTGAACCCAGGACCTTGGCATTAAAAGACAGGTGCTTTATCCATTGCCCCATGGAGCCATTCACAAATTGGATTTTAGTTTAAAACAACAATAATTTCAGTTTTGAGACATTCCCTTTTTGTGTATAATCAGGATCGAGTGTATATGCATACTCTGTCAAAGATAAGTCAAGAGATTAAATCCACAACTCATAACTCATGACAAGTAGTGGCTCTAAGTTCACCTTCATTGCATTGAATATACTATTGGGTGCTATGTGCATAACTGGTCACAATTAAGAACAAAAGTTGTGACTAGGTATTAATTTATTACTTATAAGATTATTACAAGGAACATCAGTCAATATGAAGATTTTAATCATATCATCAATTTTAAGTTTGGCTTTTGGAGCAAGAATTGGAACTATACGTAAGTACTTTGATATTATAGAACATTACAATTACAACTCATTCATTACTTAAGGGCAGGGTGCATGTTGGGAAATTTTCTGCATTCCTCAATTGAGTCACATGTTATTTTTCAAACAAGAATAACTCCTTCCCCTCATTGTAATTGTAATGAAAAAAATTTCCATCATGCACCCGGACCTAAAAATTCTGAAATGGTGAATTCAACTTCACTGGGATACTACATTTTACACAGTCAATATGTCTGTGCAACAAGATGGCTTGCCTTCTAATAGCAGATTTTTGAAAAATGTTTTATTTTCTCTATTTACGAGTGCCCATTCTCGAATGATTTCTCCATAAGTGTTTTGAGCAGTTAACAAATGGTTTCTTGATTTAAATGATGTAATTAGTATTCACTCAGCATCATCATGAAGCACCAGTTGGAGTTCCTCATTGAGCGACGCTGTTCTGTGCTTCAGAACTTCAGTGTGGAGTCTGTTACAAAAGTGAGGAATCAAAACTGTGAATTTATCCCTTGTGATGATGGAGGGTGACTTTTGAAATAGAAATTATGTACAAGCTGCAAAAGCTGCAAAGGTTTCCGGACAACTCGGACCCAGGACAACTCGGACCCTGGACAACTCGGACCCAAGACATCTCGGACCCAAGACAACTCGGACCCAAGACAACTCGGACCCAAGACAACTCGGACCACTTTTTGAAATGATGATTTTTATCATTATATTTGGTTTTAATTATTTTTTATGTTTATTTTGACATATATTATATATTGTGAATTAATATATTATGTTAATTTGATGAAATTGTTTTAAATTAATGTTTTGATGAGAGTTAAGATGTAAGAAATTATTGAAGCTAAAGACCCAAGACAACTTGGACCACTTTTTGAAATGATGGTTTTTATCATTGTATGGGGTTCTAATTTTTTGTTTAATGTTTTTTTTCATATATTATATATTGTGAATTTATATATTTTGTTAATTCGATGAAATTGTTTTAAATTAAATCAACTATAATTTCAAAAGATGGCCCGAGTTGTCTTGGGTCTTCAGCTTCAATATTCTCTTACTGGTTTTCCTTCATAACTTTCATCAAATAAGTCAAATTAAAACATTTTCATCAAATTAATACAAAATATGAAGTCACAATATATAATATATGTATTAATTTTCATAAATGAAAATAAAACCACACATAATGATAAAAATCATAATTTTAAAAAGTGGTCCGAGTTGTCTTGGGTCCGAGATGTCTTGGGTCCGAGTTGTCCAGGGTCCGAGTTGTCCTGGGTCCGAGTTGTCCAGTTACCGCTGCAAAGCATATAATAATGGAGAAAATCATTGAAGAATTTGATAAGTACACGTGGATGCGTTTGTGAAGTAATCCATCAGAAGTCATATACTTGTACCTTTTACTTGTTTTGAAAATCATTCATATCAAAGGTAACGCACAGCATTTTTCAAAACATTAGTCATCTTGACCTGGTCCCTGGTTCAGGATGTTTTCACCTGAAGTCATACATTCTAAGACAATACATCGTTGAACCACTCTAAACATATTTTACATTTATATTTGTTTGAGCGAAGTGATTTAAGAATATAAACGTAGTTTATATAATATGTGCACTAAAGTGACGAGAGGCATGGTTCATAATTAGAATATGCAACAAAATTGAGCGAAGTTTTTTAATTAGATTGCCCCCCCCCCCCTTCTCCCAAGGGCATTGGCCATGTACTGATGTAAGTGAGTTTTAGGACATTATGGGCTTGGTTGCCTAACACAAGCCACACCTTTGTTGCGTTATGTAACATAACGTACCTAACATAATGCACATAATATAGATATAAATATATGCACTTATCCTATAAAACACAGCTTGGTGAGACACCTATAATCCTGCTTGACTGGTTTGACATATTTGCATATCTGAAATTTTGACTAAAATCTAAGAATTTCAACTGTTGTGTAATGAAATACCAGAATGATGTAATTCTCTGAACTTCTACATTCCTGATAGATGTAGGCTCCAAACTTGACCTTTGTCTTGAACTCATTACTCAAGGAATCTCAAGCCACTGTGTATGTGGGTTCACTAAATAAGTACTACAAAGATAAGAATTTATATTATGGAAGAACCAAAGCAAGGCTTAATATGGTTTGACTCAAACCAGCTGTAATACTATATATAGAAAATATAATATTGTAATTGTGTTATCAATTACAATGTTGTTTATTATACAAACATTGTAATTGTATTATAATTTGATTGAATGGTCTGAAATCGCAATGCAGGGTATTGTTTTCAGTTCAGTGGTTACAATACAATTATCATGCAAACTTGTTTGAGCAAGAATTGTAAAATATTTGGACCTAAATGGGTCCTTTTTTAAAATTATATTGTAATTGTGGTTTTTCGATTGTCATTTTGATTTTTGAATGATGGGATTGGGATGTAAATATTGTTTGTTTGTGTGTTAGTTCATATTTTGGGATATTGGGGGTTGTTTCTTTATAACTGATTGGACTCTCAGACTTTTCTTTGGTTAAATATTTCATTTTTGCAGATAATTTAATTTTGGGTTCTTGCATTGGAATTATGAATTTATATCAAGACTTTCTCCTGTTCATGTATATATGGAGTGATAATGTTGATTCAAATTTTACTCCTGTTCATGTATGTAATCAGGAGTGATATTGTTGATTCTACAAGTGATCATTTATCTCCTTAATAAATGTAGACTGAAACGGTTTAACATGCAACAGTTCAAGAGCCATTGAATCATATACCTCCTCAATATACAACGTTCAAGTGAAATAATTTGCTGTAGAAGAACCAGGTTGTTCAAGTGTATTTAGTCTAATGTGGTCATATATGCTTTGTATTGCACATCAAAAGGGCACCATATTTCACCTTTTAAGAGGGACTAATATATATTGAACATCTCAAGTTGGACATACACACCCATCCTCTCCCCCCCCCATTTCACCATTGTGTTAAAGCCTGAATATATTTGTTTTTTTCTGCAAAATGTAAAAGTACAAATGTATCTGATTTAGGAGTATGTATTTCTTGAACTTTTGACTTTTGATAAATATTTAACAGGACTAAAGTATATATTGTAATTTTGATATTGTGAACTATTCAATTTTTTTGTAATATACCTTTAAACGCTGGGTATTAAAACCAGGCTTTGTATTCCAGCTATTACATGCAAAAATGTTAAGATTTTAAATCAAGTCATGATATTATGGTCATAAAACTTCTTTTTGATCTTTGAGATACTGGCCATTTGTTTCATTATGACTAAAATGGTTAAAATGGGGTCATTTTAAAAATACTAATGTAACCGTATGTTTCAGCTAATGTTGACTGGAACTCTCAAGCCCAGAATACACTTAAAGAAAGGTTAGGAAGACCACAGAACACAAATGTTGCAAAAAATATTATATTCTTCTTGGGTGATGGTATGGGTGTTTCTACGGTAACAGGAATCAGAATCTATAAGGGACAGAAGGCCGGTAACCCTGGAGAGGAAACTATACTCAATATGGATAAATTACCATATACTGGACTTGCAAAGGTAATGTGACATGCTTTTTCTTGCCATTAGTTTCACACTGCATTGATGATGTCAGTTACATGATATATGATTTGCTATGTTGATAGTACTATGATATGTTGTCCAAAACACTTATAGATGTCTATTACAATCCCCTTTTGATTATGCCATGTTCACAAGTGAAGATAGTGTATGGCCTCTTTGTGATCATATTTCAATACATGTACAGTATTGTTGGACATTAGACAAGTTTTGTGACATATCCCAGAGAGATGTCCTACTCTCAATGTTCTTTTACTGAGAAGCTTTGTTAGCTGAGGGCTGACCTTTTTAAGACATCATTGTTATCAGTTGTTTAAACATTACAAATTATTTTGAACAGAACAGCCATTTCCCTCATTCCATATCCTTTATTTTACCTAATTGTGACATTATCTCATTTTTATTGCTTTCCTTATTTTTGTGCTCTTATTGACCTTTTGAGAGGAATCTTTCTCTTGGAATAGATTTTGCTTATTCAACATGTATAGTTTTTTGTATTTGATTTATGGACTTAATCTCCTAAAGTATTTCTAGAGATTGACTAGATTGTCAATTGTACCATTGTACAATATATATACAATACATTGGTTATTCAATGTATTATTGGTTATGTGCCTGTTTGTTGATATTCATCATATAAATATTGGCTGGGTAGGCCTACCTTTTTGTTGACATTTATTGTACATTGGTTTTATACCTATGCCCCCCACCTATTTGTTGACATTCATTGTATTATTATTGGTTGTGTGCCTGTTTGTTGATATTCATCGTATAAATATTGGCTGTGTACCTTTTTGTTGACATTCATTGTACATTGGTTTTAGACCAATTTGTTGACATTCATTGTATTATTCTTGGTTTTGTGACTGTTTGTTGATATTCATCATATAAATATTGGCTGCATACCTTTTTGTTGACATTCATTGTACATTGGTTTTATACCTATTTGTTGACATTCATTGTATTGTTATTGGTTGTGTGCCTATCTGTTGACACTCATTTGTACATTTGTCTGATACCTTTTTGTTGACATTCATTGCAGACCTACAACACAGACAGACAAGTCCCAGACTCTGCTGCCACAGCCACAGCCTTCCTCAGTGGGGTAAAGGCCAACTATGGGACAGTAGGGGTAGACCAGACACTCCCTAGGTTCCAGTGTGAAGGACTTGAACAGGCAAAGGTTCCATCCATTTTTAAATGGTCCCAAGATGAAGGTAATGATCATGAATATTTATGTGGTGTTACAAAGATTTGTAACAATATAATCGTTGATAATGTATTGATTTGATATCACAGTAGGTTTACAGTCTGTGATATCTCTATTAGCATGATGTCTGCAGAACTGAAAAACGACATCACATTCTTTACAATGACATGTACTGTGACTTGATGCAATGTCAAAAAATGTATATTGAACAGTTTAAGCTTACAATGATCTTCCTGCATAATATTGTTTCATTGATTTATGTCAGGTAAAAACACTGGACTTGTGACATCCACTCGTATCACACATGCTACCCCATCAGTGGCTTATCAGTGATATCACAGTAGGTTTACGGTCTGTGATATCTCTAGCATGATGTCTGCAGAACTGAAAAACTGTATTGTGACTTGATGCAATGTCAAAAAATATATATTAATCAGTTTAAGCTGACAATGATCTTCTTGCATAATATTGTTTCATTGATTTATGTTAGGTAAAAACACTGGACTTGTGACATCCACTCGTATCACACATGCTACCCCATCAGTTGCCTATGCCCATGCAGGAGATCGCTACTGGGAAAATGATAAAGCAGCAACAGGATCCTGTCCTGACATTGCGAGACAATTGATTGAAAATGAAGTTGGGAAAAACTTGAAGGTTTGATTATGAAATAATATTCCTCTTCCTGGAAACACTCAGGCCATCAATTTAGTGCTAGACCTATTCAATATAGAAGTGAAAATTCTTGTTATTCTATGTTACAATTCCAAGTGTATTTAATAAATAAAATCAACATATTGCAGTAGTTGTATTTAACTCAACCTCTAGATGTTTTGTACTGTATAAATGCCTAAATGGGTAGCTACAATGCATGTCATTTGCATTTGACCACAGTTGATATAAACTTTGAAATAACAAAAATGATTTTATGACTTGTTTAGGTTGTTTTGGGAGGGGGCAGATCTTACTTCACACCTAAGACACTTGTAGACCCTGAAGTAAATACAACATTTGGAAGAAGAAGTGATGGAAGGAACCTTATTGAGGTAACATTATTTTGTTATATTCGACATAAGATTACGGATTGTGCATGTATATTACAAATGCTGAGTGTAAATAAATAAAGCATTTAACATTAAAGGACAAGTGAAATAGTCATTTAAACCCAAAGGAATTAGTTTTGTTTAATAATGGGTGAATTTAAACATGTCAGCTTATCAGTATTCAAAATGTCCAATAATAAAGAAGGCCGTACATTGAGTTCTCCTTGTAGAACTAGGCCCCCACGTGACTTCACTGGTCCCCACATGGCTCGTTCTGGTCCATTGAATCATGATATCATAATTCCAAGATATTTACCAAGGTACCAATAAACCAAAACTAATAATGAATAATGTTATATTACAGGAATGGAAGCAAGTCCAACAAAATATGAGTCGAAGGGCAGAGTATGTGTGGAACAAAGAGCAGTTTGAAGCAGTAAATCCACAGAATGTTGATTACTTATTAGGTAAGGGCATGTCTTGAACTGTTGAACATCAACAATTTTAGGCAGTTCATTACTTATTAGGGTAAGAATATGTTTGGACCAACAATATCAGAGCATCAAATAAGTCTGTTCTCCCCCTTAACTTTTTTAATTCAGAGATAACGTAGGGTCGATATTTATCATCTTAAAGGGAATTTAATTTGCTGATCACACACCAAATCTCAGAGTGATTGGTTAAATTCCAAATCTTTTAGAGTATCTTTAGTGATGTCCATATTTCACTTTTTTAATAGTCTTTATGTCTCCCCCAGCAGCCCGGAGTACCTCAATTCTACAAGGATATGATCTTGTATAAATCATTCAGAACTTTTAATTTTAGGTGTTATCAACTATTTTGTGATAAAAGATGCCCCTGCTTCAAAGGTTCCCCTGAATGTAACACATTTTTCTCTGTAATGATATTAAGAAACATCGAAATCACCCAATGTCACTGGGGGAGAACAGACTTATTTGACACCCTGTATACACATTTACAAGAAGTTACACATAAAATGCCCACAGTACGTACACAAGCAATTCACATGAGCTTGCTCACTTAAAACAACAACAGTATGCATGAAAAGAATCCACATATAAGAAGGCACATAAAAAAACAAATACAGAATGCACACAAGCAATTCACATATAAGCAGGCTCATATAAAACAATTACAGTATACATGCAAGCAATTTATATAAAAGCAGGCACATTAAAATAAATACAGTTTACATGCAAACAATTACATAAACCAGGCACATGTGAAATTAAAATGATTACAGTATGCACGTAAGCAATTTATATAAAAGCATACACTCATAAAACACTTACAGTATGCATGCAAGTAATTCATATATGAGCAGGTACATATAAAATGATTACAATTTGCACTCAAGCAATACATATATAAGCAGGCACATATAACTGTATAAAAGCAATAGATATATAAGAACATAAGAAACACAATTACAAGCATTATTAAAATTAATAAAACAAAATAAAATCCTTGTTGTCTATTTCTCAGGAATGTTTGCTCCTGTCCATCTTGACTTTGAACTGGATCGAGAGGAGACAATGTCGCAACCATCTCTCAAAGACCTCACTGCTAAAGCTTTGGACATATTGAAGAAAGATAACAAAGGCTACTTCTTAATGGTAGAAGGTATGTCATAATGATACAGTGGTCAAATATGTATTGTAATTTTAAGGCCATTTCCAATAGTTGCTCAAAATATAAATGTTACATTCGAAATATGTTATGTTTGATGTTTGATTTGCTTCTCCAGGGAGTTTTTTTCCTAGTTTGTACTATTGAGAACTTTGTGGTCTGAATACCATTGGTCCAAATCCCAATGGTCCGAAACCCATTTGTCAGAATCCCAATCGTCTGAATTTTATTGGTCCGAATCCCGCCTAGTTATGCTTAATTTTAATATCAAGATAAAGATGCGAGAAATGTGTTAAAGTGGAATAAAATATCACGTTGATGTGTGATTATTGAATAAAGTTAATTCCCCATTTAGCCATGTTTATTGGTAATATTACTTGAGCATTTTACACTTTATGTATTTTACTGCCATGTTAAGTCAATGTAAAGCTTTATTACTGATTTGGGTTCAACAGGAAATCAACTCATTTGCTTGTAAAACTGATTGAAGAATGTTCAACAATAACTTTGGATGTGAAAATTAGATACATTATTGTCCAATGTACAAAAGCCTCATTTTCGTGTTTGCCATTCTCATAGAATTGGTCAACCGAATTCAATGCAGGTTTTAGATATGTTGAGCTCATATGTTATTTTTGAATCATTAGGTTTCAAACCAATGGGATTCAAACCAATGGGACTCAAAGAAATGGGATTTGGACCATTGGGATTCGAACCAACGGTTTTTTGACCAATGCAATGGGACTCAGATAAATGGGATTCGGAGCATTGGGATTTGGACTAATGGGACACAGACCAATGGTGTTCCCTTAAAACCTAAAATTCTTTTTGTATGTTTTCTAGGTGGGAGAATAGACCATGCTCATCATGACGGAAATGCAAAGCGCTCTTTGGCTGATGGAGCCATCTTTGATGAAGCAATTGGTTATGCAATTGACAATACTGACCAATCTGACACTCTCATCATAGTCACTGCTGATCACTCACATACATTCACCATTGGGGGTTACCCATCCAGAGGAAATGATTTATTTGGTAAGAATCATCCATAATTAGAGTCCACATAACATTTAAACCACCTTGGTATACATTGTACATTATATTATGAGGAAAAAGGTTGAAAAAAGCAAGTATTTTAGCCACAAGTCCAGAAAAGATTTTTCTAAATTTTGTGCCCCCAAACCAGATAATTATTTCATTATATGCCATTTCCGACCATTCATTCTAAAATCCTTATGGCACCCTGAACTGGAAAATGCCATGCCATTTACATAAAATGTGTTTAAATATTTTGGTTATAGGCTCTATCTGTCTATGTGATGCACACAGATATGTTCGCTTAGTAAGGGTATCATGTGCAAATGTATTGTTCTTTCCAATATATTAGTATCTTGAAACAAAACAGTGACAATACTATGAAGTAAAGTATTTGATGGATAATTTTCATGTTTTAGGTTTCAATGACTACTATCATCCAGACAGCAATGCTACAGATAATATGCCATACACCACCCTGGCTTATGCAAATGGACCTGGATATGTCCTGAATCAAACAACTGGTATGAGGCAAGACCTCACCAATGTTGACACATGTAAGTATTATATGTTAGACCTAGGCCTCGCCAATTTAGACACAAAATTGATAATTTAAACTGATTGATAAATTCAGAATTTTGCAAACATAATCTTCTGATTAGCCTAACAGAAATAATTGTTATTTTCAGCTAACAAAGAATTCCTCCAACAAACTGCTGTGCCCACTAATTCAGAGTCCCATGGGGGAGAGGATGTTGCAGTAATGGCCCATGGTCCTATGTCCCATCTATTCACTGGTGTTTATGAACAGAACTATATAGCACATGCTATGGCGTATGCCTCGTGCGTAGGAGCAAATAAGGAACACTGTAATAGTGTACCCACAACAGAAGACCCTTGTAAGCCTGCAGGGGCAGGACATTCCATTAAGCCATCGTTAATGATAGGGTTGTCATGCATTCTATCAATTTCATCAATAATAACTTCAGTGTGGAACAAATTTTGAATATGGCTTCAACAGTAGTAATCTTTTTAAAAGTTTAACTTAAAAATCTCAAAAAGAGGACTCATTTACTCTCTTAAATTGATCTAGCCTACACAATAAGGACACTGTATTTAGTTAAATCCGATTGGTTATCATGATTTTAGTTACTACACTGCCACCTATATATTACTGACTGATTTTCTGTTAAACCCAAATAAAGATCAGCTTAACATTTGTAACATAATTTATATAACTCAGAAAAAAGTAGTTTACTACTGCCCTCTGGCCAAAGAAAACAATAAATGGATTTGTACTCGCTTACTCAGAGAATTCTTTGTGGGTTACACTGTTTAAAATAAGCTTTCAGTTTCATAATATTGTTTCAATTCAATTTTGTCTTTGACTTAAATTGATGACATTTACATGTAGCCATTGTCAGATGTAAAATTGTAATGTTTTATTTAGTTGATATACTATGAACTCGCACACTGGGCATGCCTCTAACAGGGTGATTTACATGTAAGTTCATGTTGGTAAATATGCAACTATGTATATGGCGGCATCATACGTTTCCTACTTAAAGACAATGTCCTCAAGCATCACATAGAAAGAATTACTAAATTGTTGAGACCTCATTCATGAATATAACCAGGATGAAGTGTCCACATTCACCAATTATAATGTTCAAAGAAAAACGGGTGAAAAGAGATATATACTCGCTCGTAGTATGGTAACACATTAAAGTACCACTTCATTGCATTGAAGAAACTATTGGTTGGTATATACATAAATATGTGGTCACAAAAACAGCAACTACGTATTAATTCATAATTTTAAAAGGAATGCACTACATCAATCAGATTGCACTACATCAATCAGTATGAGGATTGTAATCATAGCATCAATTTTAAGTTTAGCTATTGGAGCAAGAATTGGAACCATACGTAAGTATTCTCAAATGTAAAATATGTTTTTATGTAGTTATTTTAATTATATAGTTTCATGTATTTATGTTCATTCCATCCACTAACATTTGATGTATACGCATAAATAATGAATAAAAACAATTATACTAGTATAAGAAATTACAGATGAAAAAACAACTTTAGGCTGTTATATGTTATAATGTGTAAGCATATATTTAAATAAAGCCAAAAAAGGTAACCCAAACAAATATTAATAACTTGGTCATCAAACATTGGTTTAAAATCATATTTGGCACAATTACACGTAAACCTTGTTCAATATTTTGCCATTCTACCAAGTTTCATTGGTCTATTTCAGATCACCACAATATTATGGCTATTTTACAAAACATCCTCAAAATGCCTCTCTTGTCTCTGGAGGCGAATTTGAATGCATTGGGTTAAGTTCTGACTACACGCTCACCGATATCTTGTGTAAAGAATCTAATCATCATTCTTTTCTCTTGTTTCAACTCTCTGATGCTTCTACAGTGGTGTAGCCAGGATTTACCAATGGGGGTTTCTATTTTTTCCCCGGCTTGGCCTTTGTTTTATTACGAAAAGTCGAATGGGGTTTGCATAACGGAAACAGTTTCAGTGAACCAATCAAATTATGGAATATAGTATATGAGTGTTTGGGTTATCTTTTTTATAAGGTTTATATACAGCATATCTAAGCACGAATCCCAAAGGGAAAGGACCAAAAGTTGTAATGGAACCTACAAATACAGATAAAGAACAAATGCAAGCATGCCAAGTTGCTATTACAGCTAACTGGCTAACCTAGCTTAAACTTTGGTACCACAATTTGTAAATCGTAATGTTTTAGGTAACATTCACAAAAAGGTTTTTTTCTTCCATGTAACTGGCTTGTTAAATCACACTCTGCATTGCACAGGGGTCTAAAAAATTTTATTGGCTCAAAACTTTTTTCAAGGCCCCAATAGGTGGGCTTTTTGGGCATTACTGGAACTTTTTGGTACTTATTTTTTAATTTTCAAGAAAATGGACCTTCAATTTTTAATTTTTTGGTTTCAGGGGCCCAAATCTTTTTACGCGCAACTGCAGAAAGATTTGAAGTTTGGGCCTTCCTTGTTAGTTCCCATATCCACCCCTGTATACTGTTAGGTAAAACTTTCATTTATGAGATGTCAATATATGATAAACACCGCTGGCATCTTGACCTGGTTAGAAGTTCAGTTTTGCAAAATATAGTCAACATTCTTAAATGCATTGTTGATGTGATAATAGAATCCCACCCAAAACAAAATATATGCACTTTTACTGAGTATACTCTCAAAATTGGCATATGAAATGGTGAATCCAGCTTGATGATTATGTAACATTTGTATTTCTGAAAAGGATTGGTATCGATATGGAGAACTGAATTCAACAATTTTTTTCTCTTAAACCAATCATTGAAAACATTCTGTAAAAAACACGGTATTTTATGTAATGTTGACTGATTGACAACAATTTGATGCAAAAATTATTTAGAAATATTTTATACAACTGTTTTGTTAACATTTTTTGTTTTTTTTAGTGCAATTGTTTTTGCTCCTTTCTACCAATTCTTGAGAATGAAATAAAATGTCTTTCTGAACCTTGTTGGAACAAAATAGCATATACAACAATTTCTTAGACTTCTCAATATTATAGTTATACAAAGGAATTTTTGGTTGATTTTAAAAAAGTATTCAAAAAATTAAAACAAAATCCCCCCAAAATAGATAAAAACCAAGATAAACCTTTTATTTCATTAACAAGATACTTTTTTAAAATCAACCAACATTTCCTTTGTACAATTACAATATTGAGAGACCTAAACATGTTGTGTTTATGTCGTTTTGTTCCAATGAGGTTTGGAAAGATGTTTCATTTCACTCAAACATGATACCAAGAACAAAACAAGTGTTTGATGTGTTTTCTAAAACAATATAAATGAAAGTTTATTTCAAATTATATTGTTACCATTCAAAAGATGAACATTAAACTGACGATGTGTTATATTTTTAGATTTTTTTATGACTGGTTTAAGAGAAACGTCGTGTGTTCAAAAAGTTCTCCATATCGATACCACTCCTTTGACTAAAATCTACTGGATAAATTCTATCCATGATGGTAAAGTGTTTTTAAATTAAAAACAAGAGACATATCAAATGAGATTCTTAATGAAAAGTTTAGTAATGTAATTCTTTTGAACTTTTACTTATACATTACCTTTCAGTTACTTAACCATTCACTTAACTATAATAGCATCTATTGTATGTAAAGTTAACTTGACCTCTGACTTTAACCCATCACTCAAATTGTCTATATATGGATCCATTAAGTGGCTGCTACTGATTTGATGTCTGTTTTGTTACCTTATTTGTTCATTTATTTTATTAGACAATGGGATACTGTGACCTGTCAAGATATGTTCCTATACTGAAACTCCACAAAAGGGAAAAAATCCCAAATTTCACACATATTACTAAATATTCATTTCAGCTAATGTAGACTGGAATGCTCAGGCTCAGAATACACTGAATGAAAAGCTAAGAAGACCACAAAACACAAATGTTGCAAAAAATATTATATTCTTCTTGGGTGATGGTATGGGTGTTTCTACGGTAACAGGAATCAGAATCTATAAGGGACAGAAGGCTGGTAACCCTGGAGAGGAAACTATACTCAATATGGATAAATTACCCTATACTGGACTCGCAAAGGTAATGTGTAAATATATAATGTATAAAAATGTACAAATATTGGCTGGCGGGATTGGTTGTGTGTCTTTTTGTTGAAATCCATTGTAGAAATATTGGTTGTATGCCTATTCGTTGACAGTCATTGTATAGATAGTGGTTGTGTGTCTATTTATTGACATTTATTATAAGTAGTATTTATATTGGTTTTGTGCAATGTGCTATATTGGTTGTGTGGCTATTTTTTTAACAGTCATTGTTCAAAAAATTCATTGTGTGCTCATTTGTTGACATTCATTGCAGACCTACAACACAGACAGACAAGTCCCAGACTCTGCTGCCACAGCCACAGCCTTCCTCAGTGGGGTAAAGACCAACTGGGGGACTATAGGGGTAGACCAGACACTCCCTAGGTTCCAGTGTGAAGGACTTGAACAGGCAAAGGTTCCATCCATTTTTAAATGGTCCCAAGATGAAGGTAATGATCGCTTAATGTGTGGTGAAATAACGTTGTGTAACAATATAATCTTTGGTATGTATTGTTTTCGATATCACAATGGGCTTACAGTCTGTGATATCTCTATCAGCATGAGTGCACTTTATATACGATATCTGTTGAATTAAAAAATTAACATCACATTACTTACATATAGCAATAATATACAGGGTGAGCCAAAGAAATGTAACCTGAACAAATGTTAACAACTCTGTCTTCCATCATGGATTTGAACTCATATTTGGCACAATTAGACATTGTTCAATGCCGTTCTTTCATTCCATCAAGTTGGTCATTGGTCTATCTCAATCAACCATGATTTTATGGCTATTTTGCAAAACATCCTCAAAATGTCAGTTTCATCTCTGGAGGCTAATTTGAATGTATCATCTGACTAAATGCTCACAGATATCTTATGTTATGGCTCTAATCATCCTTCTTATCACCTGTTTCAACTCTTTGATGCTTCTCCAAGGGTGTAGCCAGGATTTACCAAGGGATTTACCAACTTTTCCACGGCCTGGGGGTTCGGTTTCTATAAACCCAACAATGAAATAACATAATATAGTATGCACACTCATCAAATAGCTAGTGAAGATGTGTGATTCATTGTTCTCGCAAAAATAGTCATCTTTCTGAGAGTTGGCTCATTCTAGGACTTTGGTTTTGTTGATCTTTCAGAAAATGGGCTTGTTAGCGACCAGGGGTATGTTTTATAAAGAAAGGGGGTTCAAGGTGAATGGCCGGGGAGGGGGGAGGGTTGGCATGAGGCCCATGAACCCAATCTCACTATGTCCATGCCTCTAGAGTTGTAAATGTGGACAATATCTTTGAAATAGTTCCAAAGATGAAAGTTTGCAGGTTCATATCAGGTGATTTTTCCGCATTTGGAGCATGTTTTTTAAAATGGCCATAAAATCGTGACCCTTAGAAATAGACCAATGAAACTTAGTAGAATGAAAGAACATTGGACAAGTTTCACTTGTGCCAATATATGTTCAAATCCATGTTAGAAGACAGAGTAATTAACATTTGTTTGGGTTACATTTCTTTGGCTCACCCTGTACCTTTGTGACTTCATGCAATGTCCAAAAATAAAATCCATTGAACATTTAAAGCTTACAATAATCTTTCTGCATAATATTATTTCATTGATTTATGTCAGGTAAAAACACTGGATTTGTGACATCCACTCGTATCACACATGCTACCCCATCAGTGGCCTACGCCCATGCAGGAGATCGCTACTGGGAAAATGATAAACCAGAAACAGGATCCTGTCCTGACATTGCACGACAATTGATTGAGAATGAAGTTGGGAAAAACTTGAAGGTTTGATATATCATGAAATAATTATTTTCCATTCCTGTAAACATTCAGCCAATCAATTTAGTGTGTGGTTTAGACTTATGCTATGTTTTATGTCTCTGATAGAAGTGAAAATTCTTGTTATTCTACATTACAAACTGTATTAATCTTCTTAAGAATTCAAAATACTCAGAGTAGTTGTAATTAATTCATCCCTTTTAGATGTTTTGTATAAATGGGTAGCTACGATTATGCATGTCATTTGCAATTGACCACAGTTAATATAAACTTTGAAATAACAAAAATCTTGTCACAATTTGTTTAGGTTGCTTTGGGAGGGGGCCGATCGTACTTCACACCTAAGACACTTGTAGACCCTGAAGTAAATACAACATTTGGAAGAAGAAGTGATGGAAGGAACCTTATTGAGGTAAAATTATTTTGTGAAATTGACATAATTATTACAACCAATTGTATTATTAATTCTGAGGGTAAATAAATAAGCCATTTAACATATTGTCGCGCGCCAGACTCCCGCCGAGTACCTGTACTCCCTCGGAGAAGGTCTGGTGGCGATGATAAGGGATTCGGAGGTGTTTCTCATGGGCGCCGAGCTTGTTTGGTGCTTCGGCTGTCACTGAGCTAGGAGATGGAGAACACAGGAATATATAAAACAATCAATTACAGGATTTTAACAATCTATTCAACACTATAATTACTATCACAATCAATTTCAAAATGTCCTCAAATGCCTTTATGGCCAGTTATACAATAATGTCTCTATATATAAGCATGAGTCGAAAAACACTCTGGCTCTGAGTTCGTCTGTCTCTACTCTACTCTGCCATACTCTGCTTTCTGCTCTGCTTGTCTGCTCTGCTCTCTGATATACTCGGCTCTGCTCTCTGCTATGCTCTGCTCTCTGCAATACTCTGCTCTGGAACTTGGTTCTACTCTAGCTGCTTCAGGAATCGCCTGACCTCACGATTAATCTCTGCTCACTTCTTCTCAGGATATACCTCTGTCTTGAACGAGATCCACACACTGGGAGTACCTTCAGCTCCGGGAATCGCCTCGTCTCAGGAGTAACCTCTACTCTTGAACGAGATCCACACACTGCTCGTACCTCAGCCCCGGGAATCGCCTCGTCTCTGGAGTAACCTCTACTCAAAGAGTGCTCTCACTCTATGAGCTATAATGTCTCTTAGAAGGGGTCCAGGCTCCGGGAGTAACCTCTGCTCTCAGAGTCACCTCTTCTCAGGATATACCTCTCTACAACCTCTGCTCAATTCACTCTTGAGCTACACTGTCTCTTGGAAGGGGTCCAGGCTCCGGGAGTATCCTCTGCTCTTGGAGTCGTCACTTCTCAGGAGAAACCTCTGCTCTCCAACGAGATCCACACACTGGGAGTACCTCAGCTCCGGGAATCGCCTCGTCTCAGGAGTAACCTCTGCTCTTGAACGAGATCCACACACTGCTAGTACCTCAGCCCCGGGAATCGCCTCGTCTCAGGAGTAACCTCTACTCAAAAAGTGCTCTCACTCAATGAGCTACACTGTCTCCAAAGAGTAACCTCTGCTCTCGGTGTCACCGCTTCGCAGGAGCAACCTCACTACAACCTCTGTAGAGAATAACAACTCTAGAATGTCGATCAAAGGATGAGATTAGACAGAGCTGTTATCTCTCGCCTTGGAGCACCTCAGTTCCGGTAATGTAACCTTGGCTCCGATGAGAGTAAACCTTCCTCAACATACAACCTTGGGTGAGAGTCAGATCGCCTCGACAAAGTAGGAGCATTTATAGCTTGGAGGGGTAATGACTAGGAGCCACCAATACTCAGAGCAGAATGACTCACGAATATCGATCAAAGAAATGAGATTAGACAGAGCCAAATAAACTCAGAGAATCTGGAGCTCAAAACTTCTCAAAATGACGTCACTTCCTTCAAAATCAAAGATGGCCGACCGCCGGGGATTGTGGGAACAAGAAAGCAAGATGGCGGACAGCTAATTACCCATTTTATGCCAACCTCAATCAAGAAAATGGCTAACTCACCAAAACACTGGCTGTTGTCTTGTATTTTCTTCAATAGTCGCACCAAATACAATCTGCATCTAACGATTACTGCAACTAATCCAATATATCCAAAATAATGCTCTAATAAGTCCACAGATTAAATAAAACACGCTTGCACATAAATAAATCCAAACTGACGAGGTCTTGTATCTTCAAGATCTTAGTTTACTCTGATTCACGTGGTTAATTGCAAACAATAAAATCCAGACACCTCAAGTTGCATCATGGGAAAACTACAACTTAAGTTGGAGGGAAATTCAAATAAAAGAATCTGATTTGCTGATCACCGGTTGCTGGGTACTTAATTATTCTAATTTATTCCACTACAGTCTGCTGATCCTGTAAACATCCCAGTGCTTACGTGACATTCTGCATGTACACATTTGAGCCATTTAACTCTCTGAAAGAGTCGACTGACTCCAAATATAAAAGTACAAAATTAAACAAAAAATGAAAATCACAATTTTGTCACACTCCCTCCTTCCAGGATGGATCGCCCTCGATCCAACAAGGAAGATATAACATACATGTTTCTAACTAACAATAGAGCTATAAATCTCAAAACTTGAGACTTCAAAACATGAACAATACAACTCACGACTAATATAACACATTATCTCTAAAACAATCAACGATCATAGTCGAAAATGTCTCTTTATGATCACACAGCATTAATCACGAATGTCTGCTGGTGCAGACACAACACAACTGTAATCCTTCAAGTATGTAGGAACATGTCTTCTCCGTGTGGAACGAGGAGGTTTCTTCTCTCTGGATGACTGTTGGAGTTCACTCCTCTCGTGGTCGTCCATAGAGCTATCCTCACTCTTTCTGGGTAACTCTTCTCTGAAGCTTGATTTAGACTCAACAACTTTCCCCTCGTTGGCTTTCTTCCTTCTCACTTTGGGTTTTACCTTCTTTGGGGAAGGAGAGCTCAAACTCTCAGAGTCCATCTTTCTCTTTCTCAGGCTCGGGGTTTCATCTTCTACTCTAGTCAAATCAGTCAAAGGCTGCTCTGGTAATGGAGCACACTCTGGTTCTTCATCAGCCGATATCCATCGGGACCAGGTAGCAGGTAACTTGCACTCAAATGGTTTCAGAAGATTCTGGTGAACCACTTTTGGCTTCCCTGTCTTCTTCTCCTTGATTCTGTAAATCACGGGAGAGAGTCGACCCACTATCTGGTATGGCCCTATCCATCGTGGTTGTAACTTTGGGGACTTGCCAACTCTTCTCTGCTTATTCCGCAACCACACAGGATCCCCAAGTTGGTATTCTCTCTGATCGGCAGATCTGTTATACCTGCTCTTCTGCCTTTCTGAAGCTAAGTCCAGTTGTGTTCTTGCCCGCTCATGTACAACCTCCATCCTCTGTCTCAAGGATAAAGCATAGTCAGTCTCTAAGGGAGGGAGTACAGGGGTCTCAATCATCTGCTCCATAGGAGCACACATCTCTCTTCCAACCATCATCATGCTCGGAGTTTCTCCTGTGGCCTCATGCACAGAGGTTCTGTAAGCCATAAGGGCTATTGGAACTTGCAAATCCCAATCATCTTGCTCATAAGCTGGTGCGAGAAGCTTCACAATGTTGTCCACCAGGGTGCCATTATATCTCTCCACGAGTCCATTCGACTCAGGGTGAAAAGGAGTTGTACGGGTCTTTTCAACACCCATCAGCTTGCAGACTTCTCCAAATACAGTGGACTCAAAATTCCTGCCTTGATCTGAATGCAGCTGCTTAGGTATGCCCCATCTACAGCAAACTTCATCCACCAGTTTGGAAGCAACTGTGGGAGCCTTCTGATCTGGCAATGGAAATACCTCTGGCCACTTGGTAAAGTGGTCAACACATACCAGCAACACAGTATTGCCTCTTGGTGTCATAGGGAAGGGCCCTAGTACATCAATACCCCATCTCTCCATGGGAGCCCCGACTCTCACTTGCTGCAAAGGAGCTTTTCTAGTAGGACGAGGATTCCTCCTAGAACTGCAAATCTGGCATGCCCTGCAATAAGATCGGACATCAGAAGACAACTCTACCCAGTAAAATCTCTCTCTGCATCTAGCCAATGTCCTCTTGACTCCATAGTGTCCTGCTGTCTTGGCAGAGTGACTCAGCTCCAAGATCCTTGGTTGGAGAACTGCAGGTGTCACTACTTGATACTGCTGCTTGCTTCCATCTTCACTCTCCCAAAGACGGCATAACACTCCTTTCTCCATCCTCAAGCGGTCCCATTGATTCCAGAGACTCTTTGTCACAGTCGATTTGGAACTGATCTGCTCCCAAGGAATCTGAGCTTTCCCAGACTCAAACACTTTCAGTAAAGGAGCTAGATTTACATCTTCTCTCTGTGCCTCAGCTATTCGCTCCAAGGTCCATTCGGGTTTCAAGGAAACTGCCAAAACAACATCATCCAGAGTATCATCTGCCTCTGTGGTAACACACTGTCCATTACAGTGACTGCACTGTTTACAGGGAACTCTGGACATCAAGTCTGCGTTCTGATGCTTCTCACCAGGGCGGTATTCCACCTCATACTGGAACTCTTGAAGACTCTGGATCCACCGAGCCAGCTGACCCTCGGGCTCCTTAAAGTTCACAAGCCATCTAAGTGAACTGTGATCAGTCCTCAAGCGGAAACGCACACCATAGAGGTATTGTTTAAAATACTTGGTGTAATTCACTACCGCTAACAACTCTCTCCGCGTAACACAGTAATTCCTCTCCTGTCTGTTCAACCTCTTACTAGCATAATAGAGCACTTTTTCCTCCCCGTCTTGCTCTTGAGACAGGACAGCTCCAATAGCTTCTAGGCTGGCATCGGTGTCTAGGATGTATGTACAGCCGTTTTGTGGATAACCCATGATAGGTGCAGTTACCAAACGCTGCTTGAGTTCATCCATCGCCTTCTGGCAATCATGGGTCCAAATGAAGACTGCATTCTTCTTCGTCAAGTCATGAAGTGGTCCAGCTATGTGGGCAAAATCTTTGATGTGACGGCGATAGTAGGATACCCCTCCCAGGAACTGACGTACCTGCTTCAATGTATTAGGAATGGGGTACTGCAGGATTTGCTCTACCTTTGCAGGATTGGGAGTAACTCCATCTCTTGAGACAATATGTCCGAGGAACTCCACTTTTCTCCGGAACAAGGAGCACTTAGAGGGCTTCAACCTGAGTCCTGCTTCTCTGAATCTCCCAAATATCTCCTGCAGGCGCTCCACGGCAACTTCAAACTTGTCTGCATATGTAATGACGTCATCTAAGTAGACTAAGGAGGTCCGGAGAGTGAGTCCATGTAGCACCTTCTCCATCAGTCTTGAAAATGTAGAGGGAGCTCCTGTCAACCCAAAC